AAGAATGGGGGATGCTGGAGGGAAGGGGGATACAGGGCTGAGGGGGATATAGGGGAAAAAACAATGGACAACTGTAATAGCATAATCAATAAAATATACTTAAAGAGAATTGCTTTTGTTTTCCTCCCTTTTTCAGTGTTCTTACACATATTCACCCTTCTTTGTTGCTACTGTCTATTCAGTCAGATACTTATTATTGGCTTTTTAAGCAAATTTTTTGAATAGTTACTTTAAATATTAAAAGTGGGTAGAGGGTTAATTCTACCACACATAGTGATTAATTTTGAGTGCATGCTAGATTTTATTTATTTACTTATTTATTCATTCCTTACCTGAGGATGTTTTTTATTGCTTTTGGAGAGGGAAAAGAGAGAGAGAAACAGAGAAACATCAGTATGAGAGGAAAACATTGGTCAGTTGCCTTCCCTGTGCACCCAGCCTGGGATGGAACCCTCAAAGATCTATTAAATTGAGAAAGTCAGAGCTAGGGACTTTCTAGTGTCCTTTCCAGAGCCAGTATTCTATCTTTTGATGAATTTTGGGTTTTAGCACTTGTCTCATCCGTCAGTACTTTCTTTAAGTGCAATTTATTTCTGTGGTTTAGAGTGTTTTCTCACCTCGGCAGGTTTATTTCTGTGTACTCTGCTCAGAATGCTCTCATTGATAAGGCTTGTGGGTGACAAGTGGTTGTATCCGTTAGGGATGCAGCTTCTATTCGTGTCTGGGATAGCAATGATTATCAAGGGTCATGGAGACCAGGACTTAGTAATAGGTAGATTGTGACCTAGAAGGTTTCTCGTTTACAGTATTAATTCCTTAATATTATTTTTTATTTCCTTCATCAAGACTTTACGGTTCTACTTGAACAGCAGAAGGCATGGAATATAAATAGTTCACCCATTTCAGGCTTTGGTTTTCTATTAACGGAGAGTGTTATGTTCTGACATTGTTTTCCTCCATGTTTACAGCATCAGTAGAGAACAAGGTGTTCACCCTTGCTGCTGGAGTAGATCCACTGGCAGTGTCCTGAACCACTATGAAAACAATAGTAGTTTTGTTTTTAAAACTCTGGAGAATAAATTGGAAAGACGCAGTAAAGGATAGACTTTTTAAGAACGTTCTAAAATAAAATAGACTTCTAGAAAATAACTATTTCTCTTCCTGTTTATATGTTACTGTTAGACTTAAAAGCGATAACAGTATTGTCTTTGCACCCACAAATGGAGTCAAACCCTCCTTTGGAGGGACGCTGTCGTGAGGCAGTCCTGAAACATCCCTTGCTGCCATGTTACAACTGTTCTAGGGAGGAAAAAGCCAGTTTTTTTGGTATGTTCTGTTTAATATGTGTTATTTTAAAAGCCAGATAAATACCAAACTTAAAAAAAATATGTTTAAAAACTTAGAAATGTATATACAGGGTCCAGCAGAAGTAATGCCTGTTTAAGTGTGGTTGGTAAGGTAATGATAAGGGTATAATAATTTATAGTTTTCATTTGAACATTTTACCTAAGATGTCATATGATGCCCTTGAGTGTGATATTATTATGTTACAGAATTACATGGTTATGATTTTGTAATAAAGATTTTGTAATAAAAGGGGGGCATTATTTGTGCTAGACCCTATATATATTACTTAAGGAATATAATACACACAGTTATGAAATAAAAATTTGTTTATGGTACGCCAAGGTCAGTTAGGTAAACTTCCTCTTGTGCATGGATTTTTCTTTGGAACATCATTGCTTGTTTGAGCTCTTGTTATATGTATTAGTTGTAGGAAAAGCACAAGGTGGGAATTCCAGCACTGCCTTAGTCATTCACTAACTAGTCTACATTGAGATACTCACGAACCATTTCTATGCCTGTTTCCTCATTTGTGAAAAGCAGGCAATGATACTTTCTCTGGTGTGGTATAAGAAATAAATGGAGCATTAGATGTATAAAAAATGTAAAAAGCCCCATACAGATGTCAGGCGGTAGTATTAGTCAGTAGTCCTCCTTCATTTAGCATGGATAATTGAGTGTTAACCATATGTGGTACTTGCAGCTAATAATACTCAATTATTCAGCAGGGTTTCTTATCAAGGATTTGGTTATCTATTAAGTGTATACTATGCTAGTAGCCAGTGTGTGTATATTTAGTGTACAATGTCAGTTATTGTGCTAAGAAATTTTCATGTGTTTACTATAATCCTCATAGCACTCTGATAATAATTCTCATTACACTCTTTTTATCCTTTAATTTTATTGCTGAGAGAATTGAGATTTAGAGAAGTCAAGCAGCTTACCTAAGGTTGAACAGCTAGTAAGTGTTCTTTCTGATTCCATCTGTCCATCCATCCCATTTATTCATCAACTATTGAGCATCTGCTATATAATAGGCACTATTCTAAGGCTGGGTATACAACAGAGAGCAAAACAAACATCCTCTGCCTTCATGCAACGTACATCCCAGTAGGGCAAGACAGAAAATAAAGTGTGAAGCAGAGCATTTCTCTGATGGTAAGAATGATGCAGTGATAAAGTAACACCTTTATTTTAGAAAATAAAAAAGGAGAGAAAATAGATCAGGGAAGGGAAGGGAAGTGTGTGTGTATGTGTGTGCGTGTGCGTGTGCGTGTGTGTTTATAATATAGATACTGTAACTGGAAAGGGCCTAATACAGAAGAGGGTACCATACATGAAGGAGGAGAGGGAGGCAGCCACACGTGAGAAATATGATCCAGGTAGAGGAAACTGTAGGGGCAAAGCCTAGGATGGGAATGTGTCTGGTGTGTTTCAGGAACCACAAGGGGGACAGTGTTGCCAATGTGGAGTCAGTAAAGTGGAGAATAAGTAGTAGGAAATGAGGTCAGGGAGATAAGATGGGGCAAAATTCTGTAGAGTTCTATGGACTGTTGGAAGGAAAATAGGGTTTTGGGCAGAAAAGAGACATGGGATCTGATTTATGTTTAATGGGACCATTCTGTCTACCGTGCTGGGAACAAACAGAAGAGGAGCGAGGGTGGAATCAAGAAGACTGGTCAGGAGGCAGTCGGCAGGAATCCTGGCAAGGCGTTGAAAGCTCAGTCCAAGTGTGGCACCAGTGGAGGCAGTGAAGGCTGGGTTTGCTGGACTTTGGGGAAGAGTGAGCGAAAGGGAAGAGTCAGTGAGGATTTTAAGGTTTTTTTGACTGAGCAACTGGAAGAATGGAATTACCGAGATGGGAGAAGACTGTGAGAGGAGCAGTTTTCAGAGACGAGGACAGGAATTCATTTTGGACAATTTGAGATGCTTATCAGATATCTATGTGGAGAGATATATGAGGCTGAATTTCAGAGGAGAGGTCAGGACTGGAAATGTACATCTGGAAGGTGTCAGTATGTTTATGGAATTTAAAGCTCCACGTCTAGATGAGATAAAGAGAGAAGTATACATAGAAAAGAGATGTCCAAGATCAGAGCCTAGTTCTAGCTCAGTTCTTAACAGTCCAAGTACTTTATAATTGCTATCCTATAGTGTCCTCTCTAGTATTATAATGGGTACTTATTAAGAAACCTAAGTCATGGAGGCTGCCCTCAAGAGGCTTATGGTCTGTGTGCAGAAATAAAATATATGGCATAGAATTGAAATGTTTAAATTACAATGCAAAGTCACATATGACTACATGTCAGAGTGAATTGAAAGGACTGTATGTTTACCTGTCCTGCCTGTGAAAAGATTACTTGGCATGGAAGGGATTGACAGAAGCCTGTTGGAAGAAATGGGACTTGAATTAAACCTCAAACAATGGGAAACATATTGTGGGGGGGGGGTGCATTTTGGGGAGGGTGTCAAGACTACCTTTATGTTTAGTAATTCACTAGGAGGACTCAGAATTTAGTAAGCTGTTATACTCATAGTTACTGTGTATTAACAGCAAAAGGATACAGATTAAAATTCACAACAGGAAAAGCCTTATAAGGCAGGGTCTTGGAGAGTTCCAGGCAGGAGCTTCCAGTTGTTTATTCCCAGTGGAGTAGTCTAGACAGCACTTACGTCTCCCAGCAGTGATGTGTGTTAGCACTTCGGGCGTGTTGCCAACCCGGGCAGCTCACCCCAGCCGTGGTGTCCAGGACTTTTACTGGGGTTAGTCACATAGACAGGGCTAGCCGCCTGTGTTGCTGACCTTAGTCTCCAGCCCCTCCAGAGCTGATACTGTGGCCCAAGGTCCCCACTCACTGTAAATCACATTGTTAACATAGACTGGCATTGCTCAAGTCTCCCAAAGAGAAAGACATCTATCAGGCAGGACATTCCAAAGACTTACCTCCCAGGATCTGCGGCAAGGGCCAAACCTTTCTTTAGACAAGGTTAATCCTTTCTTGCATGGTTGGGGGGCAGTTGCCCACTATGTGGAGACAGCATGAGCTTAGATACAACAGGAATGCGTATGCCATATTTGGAGAACATTGTGGTGACTTCAGTGTGGCATTGTACTTGAGAATATGAACTCTGGGAGCCGTACTCACAGGATTCATATCCCAGCTGTCACTTGCTAGTTTTGGAATATGCAGTAGTTAGATATTCTGTTACTTATATGTAAAGCAAGGGTAATAACAATACTTACATTATAAACTTGTGAAGATTAAAGAGTTATTATATAAAGCACTTAGTGTATGTCATGACATAGTAAATGCTGTAGAAATAAGGAGTTTGCTCATTCATTCCTTAATCATCCACTCAATGACTCTTTTTGAGCACTGACTTGCATGTTAAGACTCCTCTTCAGAGCCTCAGATTTTTATTTCCAGATACCTAGTGATATATCTAGAGGGCTTGTGACTCTTTTAATATTAACATGTTCAAAAATAAATTAAATATTTTTCACTCAAATTATTTCTACTAGTGGCAGTACTGTCAACTTAGTTTATCTGTTTAGAGATTTAATTTTAAGATACCAGCTGTTGTAAAGATTGGGCTTAAAGAATAATTTTTGGTGAATTGGGAAATTAATATTAGCTTTCTTTATATACATACAGGTCTGTGTATGATGACCAGCCAAATGCACACAGGAAGTTTATGGAAAAGTTGGATGCTTGTATCCGTAATCATGACAAGGAAATTGAAAAGATGTGTAATTTTCATCATCAGGGTTTTGTAGATGCTATTACAGAACTCCTTAAAGTAAGGACTGATGCAGAAAAACTGAAGGTAAGAAATCTGTTAAAATTCTATTTATTTTTGCTGTCCTTAAATTACTCAATATTACTTTATGTTGCATATTATAAATCATTATTAAATGTACTACTTTCAAGAAGTGCATTAGTGTATATATTTGGGGATGCCCTTCACACTTTATTAACACAGTTGTCATGCTAATGACAGGAGTAATCCCTTTTTTGGTAAAGCAAGTAATGCATTGACTTAACGGGATTTCTTTCCATGCAGGGAAATGAACTAAAAAACATACAATGAAAGGCCTCATTGGCAGTTTAGGATTTTGAAAATGACAATTAGTACACATAAAAAACCTTTAAAACTACTATATATAATTGTAGTCTCAAAATCATTTAATAATATTGAAACTATTTTTTTAGTTTAATAGCAATGTATAATTTTTTTTAAAGAAAGTTTGTGTACATTTTCTGCCACACAGAGAAAACATTATTTATTAAATGAGACCTGGATTTTTTCACTCAGAATACAAAATATTTAGTTATAAGGAATGTCCTATTTATCTTTACATTTGGACAGACAAAATGACCCTAGTTTACCAAAGGTTATGATTAGAAAACCATTATATAAAGGATAGTCAGACAATGAGAGACCGAATACAGCGTCAATGAGGTCACTGAGCATCTTTGTTCAAAAATTAATGAGATTTTTAATAAACCAGAATGTGCTTCCTTACTATGATGACCTAATGAGTCACTTAATATGTGGGAAAATTTGAGGTTGAGCTTCGCCTGCACCTGCAGCATTAAAATGTTGCTGTGGATTGAGATTTCCGTGTTTGATGTTAATCAGCCACCCAGTGTTTGCATTCAGCAAAGTATGAATGTTTAATTACCGTAAAATGCAATCACCATTTCCTACAGACAATGAATGGCACATAAACCTCATTGAAGTTATCAAAAAGGGACCAGTGGTCAATTGGGTCAGTGATTTGAATTGTTTGACAGACTTAGAGAAGCAAGTAAAGTTCAAAAATCTTGAGTAAATTTGAGAAGTTTGCCACAGAATCTGTTAAAAAGAACTGTCATAAGTAATTGAAGTTAAAAGCCCTTTTCAATCAAAAGTTCAAGTTCAAGCTGTAGAGTTAATTTGAATTTGCATTTCTTTGTTCTAAGTTTCTCATGAAGCATGATCTGATTACAAGGGTGAACAGTTACATCAGGGAAGTTTTATGCATGTTTGTCTAACTAAGGTGAAATTATTTTTAAGGTACAAGTTATTGATACCAACAGAAGATTTCAAGATGCTGGAAAGGAGGTGAGTAAATGAGACATTTTTTGTGAACCGGTGTGTGGATGTTGATTTATCTGTTCATTTAAAAAATATGAACATTTCTTTATTCCTAAGGTGATAGTCCAGACAGAAGATATTATTCGATGTAGAATTCAGCAGAGGAATATTACAACTGTAGTGGAAAAATTGCAGTTGTGCCTTCCAGGTGAGTTACATTTATCTGTAATGTAATGCTTGGCTTGATAAAATTACAATTTAATGATTATCTTTCCCACTTTATCCCTGAATTTTCATGGTTTTCCTGTATTATAAAGCCCCATTTGCTGATGTTACATGAGTCTTCTAGAACAATTTCTGTCTTCCGTTTCCTTTCTGCCCCGTTTGTTCTTTGTCCAATGTCACCGCCCCTCAACTTTGTTGTTCCTCAGAATATTTTCCAATGGGGAAAGTATCTTTAGATTACATTTTCTTGCTTTGTCCTAATTTGCCTAAAATTTTACCTGTTTTTCTGTTTGATACTTAAGCAGTTGGATTTTGCATTGCTCATAATCTCATTTTGCTGATAATGTAAGAAAACATTCCAAAATGCTCTAGCTAGGTATTTTCCCTTCTTCATTCTTGCCTTTCCACCTCTGTTTTGGAAAGACTGACTTTTTAGATTTCTGAGTTTCTGGACTCTCTGTTAGGGTTCAGATATTACTAGGATATCAATAAATTCTGAAGAAACTAACCAGTATTTTCTTTACCCGGATGTATCCCATTCAAACAAAAGGAAGCAGGTAAATGTCATCTTTTTCTTAATGTAGTAAGCTAAATCCAACTTAGTGTTCCATTTTTAAATTTTTTTTCTTTATTTTTACAAAGGAACTGGAACCTCCATACCCTGAGGAATAGAATGAGATGCTTTGTGTATAATAATTGTACAAGGTGGGGCAAAAGTAGAGTTTACAGTTGTTTGTATGGAAAATCATGCAATAATTAGTAAATAATAATATAAGAATAAACTCTTTTTTGTATACTCACAACTGTAAACCTACTTCTGCCCACCCTGTATAATGTAAATTTAGCTCAGAATACAAATTATATGTTAAAACTGTCAGCTATCTTATTAGCTAAAAAATTATTGTTTTCTGACTTGTGAGAACAGCTTTTTTTTTTAAAGGATCACTACTCAGAAATTCTACTCAGTTGAATCTGTTTGACTCAGAGATATTTGCACATTAACTTTGAGTAAATGAAATGTCTGCTCATTATGTTAGATTTCAAGGTTAAGAAACCTACTTCCTTTATAGAAATGTTTAATAATCCCTCTTTGCCACCAAATGTGAAGTAGTCTTGAAGACAGTCTTTAAGTTTGAATGCTTTGTCCCTGCTTGTAGTAATAAGCTTAAAAAATTAGATACGGATGGAATGTGAAAGAGCTGAATTCAGCTTATTCATCTAGAGGGCTATTTGAAATAGAGAAGTAAAGGGAAATAGGGGTTAGATTTTTGTTAATGCTACTGTCTTTGCTTTAAGTGCTGGAGAGGAAATTTGAGTTCATGTAAACAGTGTATTCCTAATAGCCATGTCCAGAACTACCTCTTTTCCTTAATCTATCCTCTTATAAATACACTTTTTGCGTCAGGAATTATGGTAGATATTAGAAATATGAAGCTGACAGTGATACCATCCCAGCTCTGAAAAATTCTATAATCTCTCTGAATAAAGACAAATCATCAATTACTGTACAATTGCTTAACTCATCCTTAGATTAGAAGTATGTGAGGCTAGAAGAAGACAGGGGTTAAACAATGCATTTTCCTGATGCATTAGTTTTGCTTGATTATATTTGAGAAAAGAATTAGTTTTTAAAGATTTTATTTATTTATTTTTAGAGAAGGAAGGGAGGGAGAGAGAGAGAGAGAGAGAGAGAGAGAAACATCAATGTGTGGTTGCTGGGGGTCGTGGCCTGCAACCCAGGCACGTACCCTGACTGGGAATGGAACCTGCGACACTTTGGTTCGCAGCCCCAGCTCAATCCACTGAGCTATGCCAGCCAGGGCAGAAAAGTATTATTTTTATGTGAGAAGAATATAGAAATAACAGAAGGTAGATACGAAGTTTAAATAAATTGTTGAGATAAAGCAAAGGAGACTTCAGAGCAAGTTATACTTGTAGCAGCAGTTTTAGGCTCCTTCCCAGGTATGTGTTCACTCTAATGTTTTGGTTGGAAAATGTGAGAAATAATTGCATTATGACATAGGGGCTATGATAGTGATATCCATACAGTCTACAGAATTAGGATAGGTTTGCTATAGCTGCCCTTCAGTTTTTAATGATTTTCAGACAAACAATATCTTTTGTAAACTCAAAGAACCCTGAGGGTATCCGTAAAACTATAGAAATGTGGAAAAAAATGTCTGTCTCTTTGGTCTAGGAAATAGAGGTGGCTTGATGAGCCAACAATTATTTTCCCTACCCACTTGATACTTTGAAATTCTACTAAGGATGAATGGTAATTTATATAGTTGCATTAAAACCTTTTTGGTTGCAGTATCTCATCTTGCTGAAGCTTGTAACAGTTTTAATGAATAATTGCATTTCTGAACCTGTGGTAGAAATGATAAAACAAAGCAAGGTGCTTAGTTATGTTTATTTGTGCCTTTATTATAATTCACTGTCTGCTGCAAGCTTTTGAGGTTTCTCTTTCTTTGTGGATTTGGTGTAAAATTTCGTTTAGTGAGCTGTAACACAGTTGTGCTATTTTATTTGGTATATTGAGTCAAAATCAATTTCAGTATTGCTCAGCTTTCTCTCTCAAATAACTAAAGTCCAAACTTCCAATTCCACTGCAGGGAAGAGATATTATATTAGTATGTTTCTGAATAGGATATGTATTAGTATGTTAATGTCTCAGTTATAGGTGTGAGCATATGCAAGTGTTCCAAGTTTAGTATAATATAGTAGTATGTACAATGTTTGGTATATTTAGAGATTAAAATGTTTTTATTTACTTGAAATATAAAATTTTATTTGAAAATACAAGCCTAAACCAAAGTATAGAGAAAATTAATAAATTTATAATATGCTGTTCCCTTTCATAATTATTTTTATCTCTCAAAAAATATTTTTCCATTTTTGAAAGCTAAAATAAGTTATTTTTTTAATGCAGTGCTGGAAATGTACAGTAAGCTAAAAGAACAGATGAATGCAAAAAGGTGAGTTGGTTTCTTTCCTACTTGTTTTTAGTAAGAATCTCTTTTTTCTATTATTGAAGGCATATTTAAATTTACTATAAATTATAGTGAGTCATGAAGTTTGTTTTTTACCTTTAACTATGCTTTGTTCATGCAGTTTGCCCATCAGGATCATTCAATAAAGCAATTCTGAATTGCTTTATTCAACAAAGCATTTTGTGGATCCTTACCCTATATAAGTGATATCAATGAAGAACAAATAGACAACTGAACAGGAATGGAAAAAATGTTGATTATATTGACTAATTTATCACCATTGACATTGCATATAGTCCAAGGTTAAGTGTGTATTGTGGGTCCACAAGTGAAAGCAAAGTGTGGGTACTTACATTTTGACAGTCTGAGCTAGTGTAGTTCATGTTCTGCTTTATTTATTCTAATTTTTTCTTTTATAATTCTAGAGAGAGGGGGAGGGAGGGAGAAAAAGGGAGAGAAACATCAATGTGAGAGAGAAACATTAATAGTTTGCCTCCTATACATGCCCAATGGGGGGAATGACCCTGCAAACCAGGCATGTACCCCGACTGGGAATTGAACTGGCAGCCTTGCAGCTCACAGGCTGATGCTTTAACTAACTGATCCACACCAGCCAGGGCACATTCTGTCTTATTAATATAAATGAATAAATGACAAATGAATAGTAAAAATAAAATAAGTTAAAGTAGGTCATTGATTGCCATAGAAACGTTAGATGTGCTAATGTTTAAAGTGTTTTAAAAATGAACAATTTTATGTATTTTTTAAATACTTTTTAATTTTTTAATTGCAGTTGACATACAGTATTTCATTAGTTTCAAGTGTACAACATAGTAATCAGGCATTTATATAATTACGTGATCACTCTGATAAATCTGGTTACTATCGACACCATACATAGTTATTACAATATTATTAACTACATTCCCTATGATATGTTTTACATCTCCATAACTGTTTTGCAACTACCAATTTGTACTTTTTAATCCCTTCCCCTTTTTTACCCATCCCTCCAACCCTACTCCTGTTTGGCAATCATCAAAATGTTCTTTATGTCTATAAGTTTGTTTCTGTTTTCTTTATTTTGTTTGTTAGATTCCACATATAAGTGAAATCATATGGTACTCACCATGTTATTACATATGGCAAGATTTTATTTTATTTTTTTTATGGCTGAGTAATATTTCATTGTATATATGTACCACTTTTTTATCCATTTTTCTTTTGATAGACACTTAGGTTGCTTCCATATCTTGACTATTGTAAGTAATGCTACAGTGAACACAGGATGCATATGTCTTTTCAAATTAGTGTTTGGGGTTTCTTTGTATAACTACCTGGAAGTGGAATTACATCCTTTTTTGTCTCTTGTTATAACTTTTGATTTAAAGTCTAGTTTTTCTGGTATAAGTATTGCTACTCCAGTTTTTTTTGTTTCATTTATATTTTCATGATATATCTTTTTTCACCCTTTTTCATCTGGTGTTTCTTTTGATTTGAAGTGAATCTCTTATAGGCAGCATATATAAGGGTCTTGTTTTCTTATCTATTCAGTTACCCTAAGCCTTTTGATTGGAGCATTTAATCCATTTACATTTAAAGTAACTGTCAAGCCCTGGCTGGTGTGGCTCAGTTGACTGGCCTTTGAACCAAAAGGTCACTGGTTTGATTCCCATTCAGGGCACAAGCATGGGTTGCAGGCAGGTCCTTGGTAGGGGGCATGTGAGAGGCAACCATTTGATGTTTCTCTCCCTCTCTTTCTCCCTCCCTTGCCCCTCTCTAAAAATAAATAAACACAATCTTTTAAAAGAAATAAAGTAATTGTTGATAGATATGTAGTTATTGCCATTTTATTATTCATGTTTTTTATCTTCTTCCTCCTCTTTTCCTCCTCCTCCTCCTCTATTTTTTTTTTATACTGGTATGCTGGGGATGAACGACTTTTGATTTTTCTCTTTCTAGAAGCTCTTCATCTGTCCTTTGATTCTAAATGATAACTTTGCAGGGTAGAGTAATCTTGATTGTAGGTCCTTGCTTTTCATCACTTTGAATATTTTTGTGCCAGTCCCTGGGCTTGCAAAGTTTTTGTTGAGAGATCAGCTGACAGTCTTATAGGAGCCCCTTTACAGGTAACTAAGCACTACTGTCTAGGAGAAAGGTACCCCTCAGCCCTTGTCCTGAAGCCAGCCAGACAATTCAGTTCCTTTCCACATGTGCCTGGCACTTTTTGAGCTGCTGCCCCAGTGCTGGAGCTTGGAGAGCGCGAGTCTGTCAATGGGTAAGTTCATGGGCTAGCCCTTGAGGAGGAATTCCTTGGACTTCTGCAGCCTTCTGTCTGACTCAGCCAGAATCCCTGCTGACTTTCACAGCCAGAAATTATGGGGATTTCTCTTCCTGACACTGGAACACTAACTGGGGAGCCTGGTATGAGGCAGTAACCCCTTGCTCCTCAGTGGGGGACTTCCACAGCTGAGATATCCCTCCTGATTTGTAAGCACCACACATGGGTTTGGGAGCAGCACATTCTGTCTCTCCACTCCTACCACTCTCCATGTGGCTTCTTCTATACATCCTTAGTTATAGGACTTCTGTTTAGCTAGAGTTCAGGAGGTTCTGTGGTGGTTGTTCTGCAGTTTAGTTGTAATGATGTGTTCACGGGAGGAGGTGAGCACCGCATTAACCTACTCTGCCATCTTGACCAGAAACCCCTAAAAATGAACAGTTTTAAAGTAGCATAGAAAAACCAGAATATGTGACACATTTGGAAAAGGGCAATAAAGATTTACTCTTAGTTTATTAATAACTACTTATTTACCAGAAGCTTCTAAAGTCCTCCATTCCCCTCTGAGCATTGCCTTAGTTGCATACCACAATTTTTGAAATGTTATGCTTTTAGTATTATTTAGTTTCAAATATGTTCTGATTCTCCTCTTTTAACTCTTGTGTTATTTACATGTGTGTTGTTTAATTTCCAAATATTAGTGGAATTCTTTAGGTATATTGTAATTTAGTATTCATTTCTAGTTTAAAACTATTGGGCCAGTGAATATACTGTATATGATTCTTTCCTTTGATATTTACTGAGCCTTGTTTGCTGGCCCTAGCATATTATACATCTTGTTGAATATTTCATGTGTACTTGTAGAAACTATATTCTGCAGCTGTAATTGGCTTTAGTGTTCTAGAAATATCAATTAGGTCATGTTAATTGCTAGCGTAATTCAAATCTTCTGTATCTTTAGTAATTTTTTTTTCAGCAGTTCTATCAACAATAGAGAAGAATGTAGGTTTTCAGCTATTGTGGGTTTGTCTATTTTCCCTTTAGTTCTTTACATTTTGCTTCATACCATATTTTGACTTGTATAATGTGCATTTTTTGCCCAAATTTTTGAGGAAAAAATGAGGATATGCGTTATACATGGTTAGTACTAATTCCCATGTATAACACAAGTATAATGTAAGTTATACATGGGAATTAGCACTAACATGTGTGCGCACATTATACATGGCAAAATACAGTATATTTTAAAGGTCTGTTTAATAGATGCATACACATTTATGACTATTTTGTATTCTTTTTGAAGTTTCTCATATTTATAAAAACAGGCAACTTGAGAGAGGTTTTACATAGGGGGAATTTACTGTAGGGTTATTTATAAAAAATAAAGACCAGATAGTTAAAAATCCCAATAATTTGGACATCATTATGACAGATTTATAAATAGGGTAATAATCTGTTTCTGAAACATTTTAGTTAAAGATAAATACCATGATGTATTGTTAAATAGGATATGAGTCTATTAAAGTGGAAATGTTATCATAGATTATGACTGGATATAAATGTGATCAGATGTTGCTGAGGTAATTACTACATGGTAGCGTAAGCTCATAGGTACCTTTAATTTTCTCTTTATAGTTTTTCTATTTTTCTAATGCTTATAGATTACCATTATCATTTGTTTAAAAAACAGCATCATGTTTACCAAAAGAGAAGTAGTAATCTATTATGCAAATTTGCTTACATTTTAAAATAGATAAAGCTCAGATAAATTGACAATTTTTAAAAAGGATCTCAGGTCTGGTCTCTGGCTTTTGCTCTTTTCCTAAGATTATTAACTTCAAGCCTCCCACAGCAAAGCCTGAGCTTATATATACTTTTTACATTTTTAAGGAGTGTAATTCTAGGGAAACTGAGGAGCCTTATTGAGGGAAGCAGATGTGAGATAGGGAATTTGGGAGAGGAAATAATGAGGTTGAGTTATTGAGCTAGCCAGTGCTTAATATTGATCAATTTCAAAGAACTTTTGGGGAGTTTATATTAATTATTGTAAGTCACAACATTCCATTCAGGAGGAAGACAGGAGAACCAATCTTCTGGTTTCCTTTTCTCATTACTTAAGGGTTTTACATACTGGCAGTAACTTCACATTTCTGGGTTCTCGAAAGGTCATGTGATGTCTCATGCCTCAGTGACACAGGGAAGTCCAGGGTGGGAGGTGAGAGATGAGCAGCGTGAAGGAAGGCACAGTTGTGCCGTGGAGTCAGTTGCTTGTGTCTGTGGTATGTTGCAAAAACTGCTGGTAACACTTTTCACTTAATATCTATCACTTATTTCAAATATGTTATAGGTATTAGCATGATTTTTCAAAAAGCATATCTGTTATAGAGAGAATACTTTTGGGGCTCACCTAATTTAAGTCAAGTCAGGAAATAGGCCAGGATTAATCTTGACTATTCACTAATCTATTGTATCTAAAGTGTTACTGTACTCATAAAAGATATTACTCATTATTTCACATCACCTAAATTTATAATGTTTTAGGTATAGTCAAAATCATACATAATAATGATACCTTGTAATCATACCTTGTAATGATATCTCCCTACCCATACCTTCACCTAAACATACTGATTTCTGATCAAATATATATTTTATTTATAGTACCACAATTCTAGGGATTTTAAATAACCATGATCAAATTTAGCTGTAATTTTTAAATTTGTGGCCATTTGCAAAAATACTGTCTTTGGGAATATATAAGCTAGAGTGCCAATAAGTATCTTTAAATAGCTTTGTAACTTTCTGTGTTTTCATTTTATTTATATATAACTTGTGTTTTTTTGTTAAGATAGTACCTTTTCTCATTTTGATATCCAGTTCACTGGGGAGGCATAGAATATTATTTGATACATTTAAAAAGTACCTTCTTGTAAGGATTTTGGTGGTGAATATTATTGTAGGATATCCACAATTTTGGAAAGTCTGAGTCCTATTATCAGTTATGGTATCTTGACCAAATTATATACCCTTTCTCTGTGTTTTCTCATTTATAGGTTAATAGTGATATCAGCCATAGACATTTACCTCATAGAAGTCTAGAGAAAATTGAAGTGTGTCTATGAAATTATTGATAATGTCAGTTTTTCTAGGGCACAGGCTATATTTCACTAATTGCTGCATACCCAGCATGTCACCAGTGCCTAATACGTAATAGGCACTCAGTAGATATTTGTTGAAACGAAAAACAAATCACTGTTTTATTATGTCTTTTGTGACACTTATTATTAAAATTTTAATATTTCTAATTATCTTAAACAGTTTAAAACAATTTTTTAAAGTTCTTTAAAGTATATTTTGCTTTAAATTAAATCTGTGCCTTGTATTTTTTTGATGATGATGGTTCGTCATGGATTGGGAGAAATATTATGAAATCACATATCAAATAACTATCAGGGGTGTCCAACCTTTTGGTGTCTCTGGGCTGCATTGGAAAAAGAGTTGTCTTGGACCACACATTAAATACACAGATACTAATGAAAACTAATGATTAAAAAAAAAGGTTTTATGTAAATTTACGATTTTCTGTTGGGCTTCATTTATAGCCTTCCTGGGCCACATTCAGTGCACGGGCCTTGGGAAGGACACCCCTGACTTATGTATGTATGTATGTATGATGTATGTGTGTATTTAAAAGATATTACTTACTTATTTTTAGAGAGAGGGGAAAGGAGGGAGAAGAGAGGGAGAGAAACATCGATGTGCAAGAAAAACATCAGTCAGTTGCCTTTCTCATGCCCCCAACTGGGCACCTGGCCTGCAACCCAGGCATGTGTCCTGACTGGGAATCAAACTGGTGACCTTTTGGTTTTCAGGCCAGCACTCAATCCACTGAGCCCCCACAGCCTAGGTGGTAAATATTCTAATTTTAAAACTTGGAATTATTATACAGTTAAGTATTGTGATGACTATGGTAATGCTTGTGATGTTATAGATTTGGATGAAGTGAAATGGAGTTGTGTGTTAGTGTAAACCATGAATTTTCAGCTTGCAGCTTGTTCATATGTTTTGCAGTTTGTGCAAGTAAATAGAAATAAATGCTGTTTTACCTACAACTATGACCTTTTTCATGGGAATGTTGGACTGATTTGTTATTTGTAATTACTTATAAAATTAATGTCATAAGAACTTTATAGAGTTGTCTTTTTAATTTCTCACAGGTATTATTCTGCTCTAAAAACTATGGAACAATTAGAGAATGTATATTTTCCCCGGGTTAGCCAATACCGGTTTTGTCAGCTAATGATAGAAAATCTTCCTAAACTCCGTGAGGATATTAAAGAAATATCCATGTCTGATCTCAAAGACTTTTTGGAAAGCATTCGAAAACATTCTGATAAAATAGGTGAAACAGCGATGAAACAGGTGAGATTAAAAAGGAGAATTTTAATTTAATGTTCAATAATTTAGGTTATAGAATATATCCAAAGTTTACTTTCTTTACTTCTGTAAAATGCTTATTTTTGTTTAGTTTTACCCTTTTCTTATCTTTCCTGATTCTGGTTTAGGATGGATTTCATCAACGTTTTCTTTCGATTTACAGTGACTCCTATTTAACTGGACTCACCACCAGTTCCTTGGTAGTGTTCCCCAACTATATAGTATTACATGAACTTTTGCCAGCAGTGAAATTTGGTATCAAATTAACTGAAAAGTGGCAGCTCTTTTATGCTAAGGTTCTAAGTTGCTCTCTTTTTAAAGTTGAAAGTAGTATTTGAATTAATAACTCCTACATCTTAATAATAAAAATACAAACAATGGGGAAAGATTTGGCAGTTATAAAGTTAATGTACCTACCTTTTGAGTCAGCATTTCCTCTCCTAGATATTTACCAATCAGAAGTGAAAATGTGTCCTCGTGATGTTCGTAGTAGCTTTGTTCACAGTTGGCTAAAAATTGGAAACAACCCAATGAACAGCAAAAGGAGAATGGATAAACAAATTGTGCTTTAGTCATAAAATGGAATATTATTGAGCAATAAAAGGAATGAATTACTGATATGTGTGACAACATATATAAGTCTCCTAGCCATTTGGCTCAGTCTTTTTAAATAAAATGATAGACCCCTGTAAAACTGTTCCTAACAAGAAGAGAAAGGGCACAGATCACAAATAAAAAATGGGATATTACTCCAGATCCTATACCCACAGACAGTAAAAATATTTAAAAAATGAATGAATGCTTGAACTGATTTAGACCATAATAAATTTTAAAATAACTGATTTTTTCTCTTTCCAAAATAGGCACAACAGCAGAAAACCTTCAGTGTTTCTCTGCCAAAGCAAAATAATGTAAAATTTGGGAAGAATATGTATATAAATGATAGAATTCCAGAAGAAAGGAATGAAATTATATTGAAACATACATTTGAGGAAGAGGATGAGAATGAAGAGGAGGTGATGGGAATTAGTTTCTCTCTCTCTGCCTTCCTTTCTTTCCATGAATTTTTTGTTTTAAGTTGTAATGTAGATCTGTGTGATTCTCATTCTTACCATGTGCAAATTGAATTTATGTGTATTAGTAAGTTATGAGATATTAGGACAGTTGAATTGTCTGAAATATTAGACTGCATAATTGACTGATAAACAAGAAATATTATACTTTATATTTTAAATCAATGGTAGTTGAACTTAGTTCTGCCAAAATTAGCAGCAGAAATGTAAATCTAATGATTTTTTGAAGTGATCACTTTTAATTATCTGTGGTAAACATTTAATGTCATGATGACTTGACCTTGAATTTAACCTATTTTTAAAAAAATTGGTGCTGAGATACAACAAAATAATTCTTTTTTTTTTTTTTTAATTCAAGGAGGTGACAATTCCAGGACCCAATTCTATTTTTTTGGTTAAGATTTTATTTATTTATTTTTAGAGAGGGAAGGGAGGGAGACAGAGAGAGAGAAACATCAATGTGTGCTTGCTGGGTTGCTGGGTTGCTGGGTTGCTGGCCTGCAACCCAGGCATGTACCTTGACTGGGAATCGAACCTGCGATACTTTGGTTCACAGCCCGCGCTCAATCCACTGAGCTACGCCAGCCAGGGCAGAATTTTGTATTTCTTAAAAATGTTTTAATAAATTTAGAAACCTTGAAATTATCCTTAAATATCCCCTTTCTTTCATCCACTGTATCTAGATTCATTTCTAGTCCTATTGCTTCTTTATTCTCTCCATGAAGTCTTCTGTTGTCTTTTTTCTTTTAATTACTTTGAATTTAGTGAAGACCATAAGGACCCTGTTTATTCCCAATTGTTCATAAGTTTTTGCCTTGTCAGTGAGATGTTACATTCTTTTTAAGGACTTAATTGGGGCAGAGTAAGAATTTTTAACTGATTTATGAAAGGAACTCTGTGAATATGTGCCCATGGCTGCCTCTGTGCTTGAGAGAACAGTGTAATATGTAGTCTGCTGTATGCCTGAGGCTGTGTGAGACTACAGGTGTTCCTCGACTTAATCCTGATAAACTTGTTGTAAATTGAAATGATCATTAAGTCAAAAATACATGTAATACACTTCTCCCACTAAACATCATAGCTTAGTCTAGCCTACATCAGTGCTTAGAATGCTTACTTAGCTTACAGTTGGGTGAAATCATCTAACACAAACTGTTTTATAATAAAGTGTTGACTATCTCATGTAATTTGTAATGCGTATTGCTTTTGAATCATGGTAAAGTCGAGCCATCGTGAGTCAGGGACAGTCTGTATATGAATTTATGTCTGTGTGTATGTATGTATATGTATGTGTATGTGTGTGTACATGTACATATATATGTATATGCAGCAGATGTCTGATATTATAGTGAATACAGACAAATGAACATTAGACAGTTTAAGGTCTTGTTTTTTTAATAAAGATTTTATTTATTTCCCTCTCAGAGAGAGGGAAAGGGAGGGAGGAAAAGATGGAGAGAAACACTGATATGCAAGAGATACATCAATATGCACTCTCACATGCCCCCAACTTGGGACCTGGCCTGCAACCCCAGCATGTGCCCTGACTGGGCATCAAACCAGTGACCTTTTGGTGCACAGGCCCATACTCAATCCGCTGAGCCACACCAGCAGGGCTAATGTCTTTCTAATATGGAATTAGTGTGTCCTAATTAGTTTCTTGAAATTAAATAAATATTTTTGAAATCTAACTTTTGTTTTCTCTTAATCAATATTTAAAGAACCTCTGTATTTTTTCTCTCTTGATATTCAGAATGGTAAAAATAGACCAGTTAGTGTTCTTGCCTGAATTTTCCTTAGTCTGTTTTGTATACTTGTAACTGCTAGAGCATTACCATCATGCCTTACTGCCTTACTGCCAGCTCCATACTCTCAGAAAATTTGGTTGTTCCTCTGTTTTTTACAGATATGTTTTACTATTACTACATTTTGTTTCTATCATTTCCCCTAATAAGTAACACTATAATAAATATAATTTAGGCCCAGTCTGGGCACTCATGAGCTTAGAAATGTGTTCTTTTAAAAGGAGTTTATTTCTCAAATTTGAGAAACTTCATACTATTCTATGTCATCAGTTTTGAGGTACAATTTTTAAAATATTGCAACATCTCAGTTGGGATACATCTTAAATTGATGATGTCATAGTTTCAAGTGATAGTGTTTTCCTTAGTATTTTATAAAACAATAATGATTATGTCTTCAATTTGATGAAATAATGGTGAATCCTATGAGTTAGCTGTATAAGAAAAGGAAGCTATACCTTAAATCCATCTTTACCAAAAGCAATGATGATTATATCCATGTATCTATAGAAATTTTCTGGTAAGCTACCAAGCATGTTGAAGACATATGGTCTCACCTTTACTACCTAATAATCTACAAGAGCCAATGATGATAATTATATAAAGAATGAACTACTGAACAATTGCCAAAACAATATAGAAAAGGTGTTACATTTACATTATATGCTTTTTATAGGTGATACATGTTATAATGTGTTCATGAATTTCCTTGTTTATCTGTAACAATTATCCTACAGTGGACTTGTAATTTGACTTCTAATTTTTAAAAAATGGTGTTATTTTTCAGGTCTTAACTGTTCAGGACCTGGTTGATTTTTCCCCAGTTTATCGATGTTTGCACATTTATTCTGTTTTGGTAAGTATCTTGTGTGTGAGTCTGTGTGTGTGTTTCTGTGTGTGTATTTTCATTATTTTGCCGATTTTATTTTAGGGTGATGAGGAAACATTTCAAAATTATTACCGAAAACAAAGAAAGAAACAAGCAAGACTGGTATTGCAACCCCAGTCAAATATGGTAAGTATATAAAAATTTTGAATTGGTTATGTTGTCACTTTTTATTCCCTTCTTCAGAGCTTGCATCACTATTCATTCAACTATAAATATTTATTGAACACCTACTATTTCCAATAATTGGTTTAGGTGCTGATGGTACAGCAGTGAACAAAATGGATTAAGTCCCTTCTCTCATGAGCTTACATTCTATTGGGAAAGATAGACAGTAAACAAATAAAACAGACAGTGAGTAAATAAAAAGATAAATAAGTATTTTAAGTATCAGGGAGTGGTTATTAGTTTCTGATAAAGTGTTGGACTCTTATCTCGATTAACTAATGATGCTGGACAAAACATTTTTGTAAAATTTTAAATACTTTCTAAATGCCCTAAAAATCTGGTAAGAATGTCTAGTCAGGATAAAAATTTAGTGAATATGGAACTGTTCTATGTACTGGTTTTAGTGATAGTTACCTGAAAAAGAGTGAGTTTTACTAAGTATGTAATTTATACCTTAATAGATCTGACTATAAAACAAACAAAACAAGCATACCTAAATGAAGGCAGAAATTGAGATAAGTTCAATGAAGCACTGGATATAGCTTTTACCCTGGGAACATGTACTGAATGGGAAAACAAGAGTTCCAAGGAGGTGGAGATACAGAGGGCCCAGCCCAGAGTTACCCAGAATCAGTGATAAGAGATTATCTTCCTTGTAAAAAGAGTGGAGACTCCAATTAATTATAGCCCCATTATTAGGATGACCTAGAGATAAAAATCACCTAACAAAACCCCTCTGTTCCTTCTGCCAAATACACTGAGGAAATTGCCTATCTCAAATTTTGATACTGAGTGAACAAAGAAAAAAAGTATCTCTGGGAATTCATAACAAACAGTTCCACACATGTGTTTGCAATCCAGACTTATTCTATTTGGATAGTCACAAAATCTCAGGCTGAAAATTTAAAGTGGTTCCATGCTGATATTGCCTCCAAGTGCCAGTAGAAGCAAATGTAGATATTCTTTGAACCTTTATACCAGAGTTAAATGATATCCATAGTTAAAGTTTCAAGGAAAATTAGCAATTTACAACAAAAATAATTACCAAACAAATGAGAATCATTAGGAATATTGATAATAGAAATAAATCCTAAAAGATTTTCAATATTTGAACTATTATCCATAGAATATAAAATATTACTATTTAAAGTATTTCAAGAAACAAAAGGCCAGCTTGCTGATATAATTAGGTAATAAGAAACTATAAAGAATGGCCAAAATATGAGAAGAAAAATCAAGTAGAATATCTAGAAGTTAAAGATAAAATAACCAACATTAAAATTTTTGTGATAGGCTTAACAGTGGATGAATTCTCTTAATTGATCTGAAGAAATTATCTGGACAGCATCACAGAGAAACAAAATTATAAAAATACAGAAAAGCAGGGTATATGGGGACAAGTTCTAACATACTTCTAGTTGGAATTTCAGAAAAACATAGAGCAGATGGGACAGAGGAGTATCTGAGGACATAATGGCTGAGAACTTTCTAGGACAGATGAGAAATAGAAACCTACAGAATCAAGCCCAATGAATCCCAAGTAGGTTTAATAAAAAGGAATGTACTCTTAAAGACCTTAAGGTGAAACTTCAGTACACCAAAGAGAGAGAAAATAGAAAACCTGAAAAAGGTTATCAGCTAACTTGATTAATTGACATTTATTGAATACTTCACCCAAAACAGCAGATTACTACTCATGCTTTCCAATTAGACTTGGAAGGTTCACTGAGATAAATCATAGTCTGGGCTACAATATAAATCTCAACAATTATAAAAGACTTGAAATCATACAAAGTATGTCTTCTGATCACAATATAATTAAATTATCTATATGCAGGAAAAGAATGTTAACTCTTACCTCATTTGCTAATTCAGGAAATGGATCATGTACTTATAAGTAAGAGCTAAAATTATAAAACTTTAGAAAAAACAAAGGTTAACATCTTTGTGACCTTGGGCTAGGCAGTCAGTATTTTCTTAGGTGTGGATACATAAAGCGTGAACCATAAAGAAAGAAATTGATAAGTTGAACATCAAGATGAAAAACTTCTCAAAAGGCATTGTCAAGAAATGAAAAGACAAGACACAGGGAGGATATACTTGGCAAAACTCATGTCTAGCAAAGGGCTTGTATCCAGAGAATATAAAGAAGTTGTGTAATGAAATAATTAAAAACAACTAATAGATAAAAGAGTCAAATAGATAGACATTTTACCAAAGATATACACATGAAAAATGTTCAATGTAATTTTTCATTAGGAAAATGCAAATTAAAACCACAATGAGATATCATTGCATACTTGCTAGAATGGCTGAAGTTAAAAAGATTGATAATAGCAAGTACTGATGAGGATGTGTAGCAACTGGAACTCTCATACACTTCTGGTGGGTATAAAAATTATAGTGACACTTTGAAAAATAACTTGTTGGTTTGTTAAAATCTTAAGCTTATACTTATCACGTGACCCAGCAGTCCAGCTCTTGGGTTTTGACCCATGTGAAATGTAAGTGTATCTTCACACAGTGGCTTATATGTGAATGTTTATAGTAGTATTCATAAATGCCCAAAACTGGAAACCTCTCAAATGTTTATGAACTAGTGAACAGATAAACAAATTGTCGTACATTCATATGATGAAATGCTATTCAGCAATAGAAAAGGAACTGGTATGTGCAGTGACATGGATGAATCTCAAAAGTATTTAGATACTACAAAGGTATGTACAGTATAATTTGTTATATTACAGTTTTGAAAAGGCAAAAATATGAGACAGAATGAGATCAGTGGCCAAGGCCTGAAACTGGGCAAATGAAGCATTACAAAGGGGTACTAGGGATCTTTATTATGAGATGGAAATATGTTCTGTATTTTGACACAAACATCTACATTTCGACTCTACATGTAAAAAGTGTTAATTTTACTATATGTAAATTAAACCTCAATAAACTTGACTTTAAAAACAAGATAAAGAGAAGACCTTGAAAATATCTAAAGAGAAGAAATTATTTTCAGATAAACAAAACAATGGAATATTTTCAATGCCAAAGGAAAGTAACTGTCAACTTAGCATTCTATATCCAGTAAAACAAGGGCAAAGATAGACACATTCAGACAAAAAAAAGAATGTTTGCTACTGAGACACCCTTCCCAAGGAAGGTTCTAAAGAGGGGGATCTACTTTAGGCAAAAGGAAAGGGTTACCAAATGGAAGCTATGAGATGCTAGAAGGAATGAAAATCAAAGAAAGTATAAATAAGTGGATAAATCTATATTGATTGTAGGAAATAATGATAAAGCATTATGGACTTTAAAACAAGATAGAATTAAATACACAACAGTAACATAAATATTAAAATGGGATGGAATTAATAAAATGAAGCTATTCTATAGTTTAATTGTCCAGAACAATAAAACTATTGATTAATTTTAGAGTTTGGTTAATTAATTATGCATTTTGTAATTTCTGGAATAACCAGTAAAAAGAGTAGAAACAGAGTGCATACTTCCATATAATACATAAAAGCTAGAATGATAAACTAAATATTCATGTCTTAGGGTTAAGAAATGGTAAGTTAGCCCATAAGCACTAATAGTATTAACTCAAAATATTTAAAGCAAACTTACCATAACCAAAAGAATAAATAGAAAAATCCATATGCATAGTGGATTTTAAATGTCTCAATATCTTATAAACCAGACAGAATATCAGTAAGAATACAAGATATGCTTAATAGGCTTGATCTAATGGACTATATAGAATACTGTTTCATCCACTGTAGAAGCAGTCTTTTAAGCACAAATGGAACATTATAAAATGTAACTAACAAGTAAGTATCAAGAAATATGAAATGTCTCATGTCACACACAGTACATTCTCTGATCATAGTATTCTTTTTTGTATCTTGTATTTTTTTATATTACCTTTTAGTCCCCTTTTACCTCCCTCCCCCCAGCAATCACCACAGTGTTGTGATCATAGTATTTGTTTTATTTTTAAAGATTATTTATTTATTTATTTTTAGAGACAGGGAAGGGAAGGAGAAAAAGAGGGAGAGAAATATAAATGTGTGGTTGCCTCTTGCATGCGCTCTACTGGGTACATGGCCCACAACCCAGGTTTGCGCCCTGACTGGGAATCGAACTGGTGACCCTTTGGTTTGCAGATCATGCTCAATCCACTGAGCTACACTAGCCAGGGCTAATCATAGTATTCTTAAATTAAAAAGTAGTAATAATTCTTCTCCAACTGGAAAAAAACCCAGATGTTTGAAAATTTTGATCACACAAATTGGGTAAATAACATTTTAACTTAATTGAAATAATGAAATATTTCATGTAATAACTCTTTATGAATGAAATTCTAATGATCAAATATTTTCCTATATACCTTTTACTAAAATTATAAACAATATTCAATTGTAGACTATTTATAAAGAATGTGGCATTTCATATAGAATCAGATGAAAAGTCATTGGAAGGCTTTAGCAGAAGGTATAGAATCTTATTACTATTTGAGAGGTATCGTTCTGGCAGCTATCTGGAGAATAGACTCTAGGGAGCAAGCCTAAAGCTGGGAGCACTAGGTAGGACAATGATGGAATAGCTCAAGTGAGAGATGATGGTGGCTTGAATTAATTGTTGGGGACAGGGGGTCCTAAAGTCATATTTACTTTTTAATTTGCTTATTGTCTGTCTTTGAATGCAAGTTTCATGAGGGTAAGGACTTTTTGTTATTAACCAGTATATCCCTTGGTGCCTTAAAAATGTATGCAGCATATAGTAGGCTCTCAATAAATATTTGTTAATAAATGTAGTGATTTGGAATTTACTTTTATGTTACTGGTATGTATTGGTTTAAATTATTTTTATTTTTCATTTAAAGCATGAAACAGTTGATGGCTATAGAAGATATTTCACTCAAATTGTAGGGTATGTATCTAATATGGAAATAAATATTTTTATATTCTGTCAAATGTCAGAACTAATAATTTTCTATTTGGGTTTTAATTTTTTGACACATGTTATATTGATAATTACCGTTTTTAGGTTCTTTGTGGTTGAAGATCACATACTACATGTGACCCAAGGATTAGTAACCAGGGCATATACTGATGAACTCTGGAACATGGCCCTCTCAAAGATAATTGCTGTCCTTAGAGCTCATTCAGTAAGTCAGACAATTTATGTTACTAAACTTTCAGTTTAGTTACTCTAAGAACTTCTGAGATGTATATTGTCAGAAGAAAACTCTATTTCCATCATTCTGCATATTTCTGGTAACTGCTCAGATTTGGAAGTAGTAGTGTCAGGCTTTTGTTTGGTAGTATTGGGCTGTGATTTGTAACTGACTGGAGCTTCTCAAGACGCATTTAGTCCAGCATTATAGAAAATGAAGAATTAATCTGGTCTCATTAGTCTCAACTGACCTCTTCATTAGATTAGTGAAAAACACCATGAATAAAGGATTTTTAATTATCATTCCAAATTCTTTGCTTCCAAAATAAGCTCCATTTAAACTCAGTAGAATTTATTCATCCATATTCATAATTTGTTTGCAGTAATACAATTACACATTTCTTTAAAATATATAATGTCAAAATTTGAACTCATTTGAATAATGAACCTTTATGCAATGAGGGACTTTTTTAAGAATGAAAGTAAAATGATCAAGTATTTGTGTAATATACCTCTTGTGGAAATAATAAATATGTTAGTGTTATAGAGACAGCTGAAATTAATGATTGCTCAGTCTAGACTTTTTCTTAAGACAATTTTAGTAGTTTGCCTTCAGTAAAATTTCTTTATACTTAAAGTTTTGTAATCTTATTTATAATTTTATTATTGAGAATAAAGATTGAAAATAAATTAAAGGAGGATTATTAGCTTATGTAATATTTAGAGTATAAATATACTACATTTTTATTTATCAGGAATGGAGATTCTTGATACATTATTTATCCAGTGAACTAATTTTCCTAACATATTAATAAATAACAATACATTTTTATCATGGTTTATATTCAGGCCAATTCTGAATATGTAAAATTATACTGTGCTTCCTATTAGTTCCGTGACATTAAATATGAAGCTGTATGGTATTTGTCTCTCACTGCCTGGCTTATTTCGCTTAGTATAATAGTTTCCAGTTCCATCCATGCTGTCCCAAAGGGTAGGCGCTCCTTCTTTCTTTCTGCTGCACAGAATTCCATTGTGTAAATGTACCATAGTTTTTTGATCCATTCATTTACTGATGGGCACCTAGGTTGCTTCCAACACTTGGCTATTGTAAACTCTGCTGCTATGAACATTGGGGTGCATAGGTTCTTTTGGATTGGTATTTCAGGGTTCTTACCTTTAACAGGAACCTAACCAACAAAACAAACAAATAAGTAAAATAAAACCAAAGACACTGAAATAGACAACAGGCTTGCAGTGACCAGAGAGGAGAGGGGAGGGAATTTCAGGGAAAAAGGAGAAGGGTTTACAGGAACAAGTATAAAGGACACATGGACAAAAACAAGGGGGGGTGGAAATGGGAGGGAGGTGGGAAGGGCTGAGGGGGGTGGGCTGGGATGGGAGTAAAAGGCAGAAAACTGTACTTGAACAACAATGAAAATAAATAAATAAAATAAATACGAAGTCATAATATGTTAAATGCAACATATTACACTCAAAGTCTTATTAAATACTGTTAAGGGGACAGCAAATTTTGCTATTCCTTTGAAATTAATTATTTTAGTGAATTACTAAGAAAATATTTAAGTTGTCTTTCTTATATTGGAAAAATTTGTATCTCGTATAAGCAAATAAATAAGCAATTGAAAACTAAAAATATGTAGTCTATATATATAAACCATTTTTTCAGTTTAAAATAACTTAGTAGAAATATATATGCTATTTTTGCTTTATATGCATCATTTATATACTATTTATATGCTATCATTTATAATAGCATATCTTTATGCTATTATATGCATCATTGCTTTAACCAAAGTTTAGTGTGTGGAAATTTTAGGAAAAAATTCTTTTGTTTAATACAGGTATTCTAGATATATCATTTTATGATGTTTTGCTTAGAATTTTTATTAAATAGAGGAAGCCAGCTGTGGATCTAAATAATAACCAAGATTTAAAATTTATTGTAAATTTGAGGGATTAAAGGAAAAAATTGCAGGTTTTATTTCTTAGTTTGTAACTTAATGACTGGTTTTTGTTTGTTCCCACTCCCACATCTACCCTATCTGTTCCTCCCCACCCCCGCCCCCTAGTCTTATTGCACTGATCCGGATCTTGTTTTGGAGCTGAAGAATCTCATTGTAATATTTGCAGATACTTTGCAGGTGGGTGGTACTCTAACATTCAATTCATGGCAATTTTAAGTACTTAAAGATATATAAAATGATAGACTGTGCTCCCTTAACTTATTGTGGATTAATGGTAGTAAATTAGTATTAACCAAATGTTTACTCATATATGCATTAGTATCCCTCTGTTACCCAGTATTTTTCATACTACTTCCTTTCCAGCTTGGACAGAGCTCATGGAATATTACCATCTTTTGGGTATTGGTCACTCAGTTGAAATAGATACAGTATTTTTGTGGTTAAAAAATGGTGCAGTGGAAAGATCTTTGAACTAGAAATTAGAAGATACAAGCTCTGCCTTAGAATGGCGCCCTCAAGGGCGCTCAAGTCACACAGATCCTGAGTTTATGTTCTCCCTCTGCTATTGGCTACTTGGATGTCTACAAGTTTTATAAACTTTAGATCCTCATTTGTGAGAATAGATTTATTACTAGTTTTCAGAATTGTTTTGAGTTTTAAATGTGATAATAATTAGGAAAGCATATAGTTTGAAAGTTGTATTTTCTCAGTTACTTCCTAACTTCAGATGTAGTATGACTGTGAGCAAATCTCTTTACTTCTTTGAGACTTGTTTTTTTTTTAAATAAGATTAAAGCTAATTTATCTGAAAATTCACTGTCTTTGTGATTTTCAGCATCAAATTTTTAAGCTTGTCTCTCCTCCTTTGTCACAGATAATACAGAATTGATTGCAGGTTGTTTTTATGCTTAAATTTATGGGATTTTTAAGGTGGAAATAATGTTTTATGAAATATAGAGCCACATTTTCCAAAGTGTGGTAATAGATGTTACTTATTTTTTAATTGTATTTTACTGATTATGCTATTACAATTGTCCCAATTTTTCTCCCTTTGCCCCCTTCCACCTAGCACCCCTAAATCCCTTAGGCAATCCTCATACCATTGTTCGTGTCCATGGGTCGTGCGTATGTTCTTTGGCTGCTCCATTTCCTACACTGTATTTTTATCCCCATGGCTGTTCTGTAACTACCTATTTATACTTCTTAATCCCTTCAGTTTTAACTCATTCCCTCACATCCCCCTCCCATCTGGCAACCATCAAAATGCTCTCCATATGCATGATTCTGTCTCTGTTCTTCTTCTTGTTTGCTTAGTTTGTTTTTTAAGATTCAATTGTTGATAGAGATGTATTTATTGCCATTCTATTGTTCATAGTTTTGATCTTCTTTTTCTTAAATAAGTCTCTTTAACATTTCATAAAGTAATGGTTTGGTGATGATGAACTCCTTTAGTTATCTCTTGTCTGGGAGCTCTTTAACTGTCACTGGATTCTAAATGATATCTTTGCTGAGTAGAGCAGTCTTGGCTGAAAGTCCCTTCTTTTCATGACTTTGAATACTTCTCTCCAGCCCCTTCTTGCCTTCAAGGTTTCTTTGGAGAAATCAGCTGACAGTCTTATGGGAACTCCCCTGTAGGTAACTAATTGCTTTTCTCTTGCTGATTTTAAAATTCTCTCTTTATCTTTAACCTTTGGCATTTTAATTATGATGTGTCTTGGACTGGACCTCTTTGTGTCCATCTTGTTTGGGACCCTCCATGCTTCCTGGATGTGCATGTCTTTTTCCTTCACCAAATTAGGGAAGGTTTCTTTTATTATTATTTCAAATAGATTTCCCATTTCTTGCTCTCTCTTTTCTCCTTCAGGCACTCCTATGATGTGAATGTTGAAACACCTGAAATCGTCCCAGAGGCTGCTTACACTATCCTCATTTTTTAAAATTCTTTTTTCTTCTTGTTCTGATTGGTTGTTTTTCACTTCCTTATGTTCCATATCATTGGTTTGATTCTCAGCTTCATCTACTCTACTGTTGATTCCCTGTAAATTGTTCTTTATTTTAATCAGTGTACCCTTTATTTCTGACTGAATTTCTTTTCTGTTGACGTCCTCACTAAGTTCCTTGAGACTCCTTATAAACCAGTGTCTTGAACTCTGCATCTGATAGATTGCTTACCTCCATTTTGTTTAGTTCTTTTTCTGGAGTTTTTATCTGTTCTTCCTTTTGGGCCATGTTTCTTTGTTTCCTCATTTTGGCAGCCTCCCTGTGTTTGTTTCTATGTATTAGGTAGAGCAGCTATGAGTCTGTGTCTTGGTAGTGTGGCCTAATGTAGTAGGTGTCCTGTAGGGATCAGTGGCACAGCCTCCTCTATCACCCAAGCTGAGTACTTATGGTGTGCCCTTTGTGTAGTCTGAGTACAGCTTCCTCTTGTAGTTGAGCCTTGTATGCTGATGGCAGGTCAATGGGAGAGATTTACCCAGGCCAGTCAGCTGCAAAGATTGTCTATGACCACTGACCACCAACTGCCGCCATCCATGGAGGATCTGCTGTGCAGGGGCAGTGTGGTGGTGCTCTGCTGTGGTCTTTAGCTGTCCAGGCCCTGGGGTTTCTTGGGTGGTGCAGGCCCAGGTCAGCCCCCACCTGTGTTTTGCCCAGGGCCACCCTGCCTGAGTTATAAAGCAATCTGTGTTGGCTGCTACTTGTGCTGGCATTAGAGATTCCCAGGCAAAGTCATGGTGTGAACCCAGGCTGGCTGCTTCTAATGCTGGGCCTGGGGCCACTTAGCAAGTGATAGAGAGGCTGGTGGCTCACTGAGGCTGGCTGTTGCTTGTTTGAGAGGATTTAGGAAGTTGTGAAGCATGAGCCAAGACCAGCTATTCATATGAAAAAGCTGCTGTTACCAGCTATGATTTGGGTGGGATGGAACCTCAGAGGATCTCCAGGGCAGGGTAAACAGTGTTAGCCAGGTTGATGGAGTCTCAGATATGACAGCCGCATGCTGGCTCTGTGGCTATGTGTAGGGAGGGTTTAGAAAAGGGCCAGTGGCCTCTGCCCACCTTTCTGTCTGATAGAAAGCTGTCCCCCAGCTATCACCTCGATGCCAGAAATTTCAGTTCCTTCCTGTATGCCCTTGGTGCCTTTCAAGCTGCTACCCCAGTGCTGAAGCTCAGAGGGAGTGATTCTGAGTAAGTCCATGTGCAAGTTCTTTAAGGGAAACTGCTTGAGACTCCAGAATGTTCTTGCACTGACTCAATCCCACTGGTTTTGCAGCCAGCAGTTATGGGAACTTATCTTCCTGGCAGTGGCAGTCTAGGCTGGCAGGCCTGCTGTGGGGCTGAGCCTCCTTGCTCTGGAGGAGTGTATAGCTTAGCATGTGTAAACTATAGATGGAGATATGGTATGGTAAGGATGAGACTAGTTGAGCAACTTGATGGTGTTAGAAACTGGAGAATATGGGTATGAGCTAAGAAGGGCAAATAGTGATACTGAAACTGGTAAGGTGGATTGACCCAGATTGTGGCAGATCTTGTGGGACTTTAGTAAGCCTTCTGTAGTTTTTAACCATTTGCACTTTTAAATGATGATTTTGAGAGTCTAGTCAATAGAATGAGTTGAAAGAGACAGGTGGTTGGAATTTCAGAGATATTAAAGAACTGAAATATGAAATAAAGCAGTGGCACTGGGAATATTCTGGAAGAAGGAAAGGTAGTAAATGATGGCAAAGAATGATAAATTTGAAAGGTTTGTAAAAGAGTCAAAATTAAAAGAATCTGGTGACTGATTAGATGGTTCTATGAGGGGGCATTTAGATGATTTAAAAAAATTTTTCCTGATAAACTGTATTGATGATAGGACTATTAACAGAGATAGGAAATAAGAAAAACACTTGATTTAGTGTGAAAGGGAGGAGATAAGTTAACTCTAATGTGCTTGCTGGCAGAATGACTAGAGATGTCTAACAGGTGTTAGAATTAAATTACTGGAATTTACAGAGGGATGGCTAGAGATCCAGATTCAGGTCAACAGAGAGAAAGTGGTGTTTGAAGTCAATTGACTGGAGAGGGCCCTTAGAAGAAGAGATTGAAAGATTGAGATAGGAGAGAAAAGGAAACAGGATTATTTATAGATAAAAGGAGAACAAGGAGAGAGAGTGGTGTTACAGAATTCAAAGCAGAAGAGTTACAAGAAAGAGAGGTATGGTAGAATGAGAGATCATTGAATTTTATATTTGGGAGACAATCTGTATTGTTGAGAGCAGTTTCAGTAAAGGAATAGGTCCTGGAGTTTGATTGTTTTAGGGTTTGACTATGAAAGGAGTAACAAGGAAAGCAGCTGGAAGGGCACAGAAAATTGAGGAAGGACTTTTTTTTTTCTTTTGTTGTTCTTGGTTTAAATATGGGAGGCAATTTAGCATATTTATTTAGCCTAGAGAAAGGAGCTATGGGAATTAAAGACACAGTAGAATGAAAAGGTAGATCCTGGAATGGTTCTTGACAGGACAAGATAAGATGTAAACCTTGACAGCTCTGCAAGGTGAGTGAAAATGTTTGATCCTGATATGGGTAAGATTTCAGTGAATTTGGAGTTGGAAAAAAAGTTTTGGAGAGTGTATGTTCAATTAAAAGATGTAAATTTTTTCTGTACAAGAAAGTCAATCTTAAACTGAAGGTGCAAAAGGAAGCCAGCATGTTTTAGACAGAATATATTCCCTTTTGTTCTTGAGTCCTATTTAGATACCATTTCTCAAGACACAGATCATTAATTTGAACTTTCTCACCAGTTCTGACTTCTGATACTTTTAAAGGCTAACAAAGAAATCCAGAGTGATTAGAGAGAGAAGAAATGGAAAAATTATTCCAGCTTCGTAAAACTTTCTAGACACTTACTTTTTTTTCAATGTTTTTCCTAAGATTTTTAAAAAAGATTTTATGTATTCATTTTTAGAGAGAGGGGAAGAGAAGGAGAAAGAGACAGAAATATCAATGAGTGGTTGCCTCTAGCATGCCCCGTACTGGGGACCTGGCCTACAACCCATGCATGTGCCCTGACTGGGAATTGAACTGGCGACTGTTTGGTTTGCAGCCCACACTCAATCCACTGAGCTATATCAGCCAGGGCGTCTAGACACTTTCTTACCCAATGCAAACTAGTAGAAAGTCAAAGGATTTTTTTTCATACGGTTGGAATGGCATATAATATGATATGTGATATAGTTAGTTCACTTTCAAACAGTTCTCCAGTATTACCAATATTTTAAAAGTGAATATTTTTATTTATTTGATTTGTTTATCTGCTTTTTTATGTGTGTGTTTTAGGGTTATGGTTTTCCAGTGAACCGACTTTTTGACCTTTTATTTGAAATAAGAGATCAATACAATGAAACACTGCTTAAGAAATGGGCTGCAGTTTTCAGGTTAGTCTAAGCCATGGTGCCTTAATGTGGTGAAAAAGTTTGTCAGATGCTAAAGTAATTGATTTTGTATTTAGCAATAAAAAATGCTTATACTTTTTATTGTGGTAAAATATGTATAACAAAATTTACCATTTTAATCTTTTAAGAATGTACAGTTTAGTGACATTAAGTATATTTAGGTTGTAACCATCACCACTACCCTTCTCCAGAACTTTTTCATCTGAAACTCTTTTCCAATTAAACACTAACTCCCCATTCTCTTCTTCTAGCCCCTGGCAATCACCATTCTACTTTGACTCTATGAAGTTGACTACTCTGGGTACTTCATATAAGTGGGATCATACATATTTAAATATATGTTTGTATTTTTTGTGTCTGGATTATATCACTTCACATGATGTCTTTAAGGTTTATTCATATTGTGGCATGTGTCAGAATTTCATTTTTTAAAGGATGAATAATATTCTATTATATGTATATACCACATTTTATTTATTGTTGATCTATCTATGGATATTTGAGTTGTTTCCACCTTTTGGCTATTGTGAATAATGACACTATAAACACTGGTATACAAATATTTGTCTGAGTCCCTGTTTTCAGTTCTTTTGGGTATATACCCAGAAGTGGAATTGCTGGATTATGTGTAAATGTATGTTTAATATTTTGAGGAATTGCCATATTGTTTTTCACAGTGGCTTTACCACTTATAAATAATTTTTAAATGCACTACTTTTAGTTTTAATCTCAGTAGTTTTTTCCCCAGTAAATGATTAGGTAAAGGCTGTAAGTATTCAAACATATTTAGTATTAGAAATTTATAGCTTTTAAATTTTGTTTGGAAAAAGTACAGTATTTTACAAATACCATAATTAGATTAAAATCTTAAAGCATCTAATTAGGAAAATTACTTTTCCTTTACTCACTTGCCTGTAGGGCATAGACAAAGTATTTTAATATCTATACAGTTTTCTATTGTCATGAAAAGAGAAATCTGCTCCTTCCTTTTTAAATTCTTGAAAATTTTTCTACCTCCTTTCCACTGTCCCTCTGTCCCTCCTTTCCTGCCTTCTTTCCTTCCTTTCAAGAAAAAGTCAACCTTGAGATCTTAGATTTAGGTCCTCCATAATATGATATAAGTAATGTGACAGTAATATTTGATGAGATTGAAATAGAAAAGATGTTAAGTGATTTCACACCAGGTTGGCATTTACCCCATCAATTTTCAAAACTGTGGAGGGCTGACCTTCTGAATAGTGTGATAGGAGTCTTTCTTTTTAAAATACCTAAGTGATTCACAAGGTGATACACCTCTATTAAAAACAACTAAATGAATCCTTATGTAAGCTTTTTGTATTAACATTTCTTAGGAGCAATATTACTGGGGTGTTGTCCCAAATGGATAATTGACAGTCTTGATGAGTCATGTATAAGTATCAACAATTTTTGATATTTAGTATTTTAGAAATATATGTAGTGTTTATATAGGGGTAGTAATCTATAATATATATGCTATGATACAATGTGATGATACAATAGCTTTGTGTGTAATTTTTATGTATAAAAAATCCTTACTTACAAAGTTGACATTATTAACTTGCCCTCTTGAGAAGAGTGTTTATTTACAGTTTCACAGTTGTTGACAGGTTTCTATTGAATCAGCTATTCTCTCTTATCTATCGTAAGACTTCTAGTAGTGAGATTGCTCCCGCATTATGGGAGAAACTAAGAGCTATTGTTTTGTCTCTGGGAGAGATAAGATTAACATCATCCATTGTAATTGTTGGGAGAACAAATGATAGCATGTGAATTGTGGTATATAATTCCCAAAGACATTTTGACTTCTTTCATTATCCTTCTAGATCATTCGTTTGCTTAGATTGTAAGAAGTAGCAGAATGTGATGTCTCCTTATCCCTTCCCTGTTTCTTCAAAGATTTTACAAGTAGTGAATTGACAACCTGACAATTAAATGGGTAAAAAGTAAAAGTTATCATCAGTACTGAGTAATTAAAACTTGGCTACTTTCATGATAGAATTTATAATCTGACTACTGTCATAGTTTGTTTATCTGTGTGTAGTTCTCTCCAACTATATTGTGAGCACCCGTGTTTTATTTATATTCTTGATTACTTAGCCCAAGTATAGTGCCTTGCGGTGTAGGGTCTCAGTAAATGTTTATAGAATTTGGTTTAGTAAATAGATCACTTTCAAGACTACAGTAACATTTTTAGAATATGAATATACCATTCATTAAGTTATCTTTCCTTGCATATTAAGTGACTCCTGGCATTTGTATAAATTGAGTAGTTTATGGTCTTCTACTAGTTTCTTTCCTGCAACTTGCCTTTTAACTCCTTACTCTAAATACTATTTAGAAGGAAATAGAGGAAATTGAAGCCTCTCACTGTATTTTAGGTGAACATAGCCTTATTTTAACTAACTTGTGTACACCATGATTTAAAAACCTGTGCCTTTATTTCCAGCCTCTCCTCAAGACCCCAGACCCATTTATCGATTAGACATCAATTATCCACTACTCAAACCACGTCCTTCTCTTGTATTCCTTATCTAAGCAAATGTCTCTGATGAGGTGAGGTTTATGAGGTCTGTCCAGAAAAAGTCCAACCATTGTTAATATAATGAGAACAGTTTGCACGACATCAGTGTAACCTGGCAGTCAAGGAGAGTGGACTGGGATGCACACACGTGAACAATGACAACTTCACTGTACTAGTCAGTGGGGGTGGTAGACGCCATTGAGTGAGCATGTGTACTGTGTGGCCATCAACATTCAAAATGACTGAGTGAGTCGAGCAACAAATCTGCATCAAATTTTGCTTTAAGCTTGAACATTCCCCTGTGGAAACTATTAGAATGATTCAGAAGGCTGCAGCTATGGGCAACTGGTGATTGGCAGCTTTGTCACGATAATGCGCCACTCACGGCACAGGTCTCATGCAGAGTTTTTTAGTAAAACATCAAATCACCTAGTTGACTCAGTCCCTGTACAGCCCAGATTTGGCAACCTGTGACTTCTAGCTTTTCCCAAAACTAAAATCACCTTTGGAAGGGAAGAGATTTCAGATCATCGATGAGATTTAGGAAAATACGACAGGGCAGCTGATGGTGATTGGGAGAACTATGTGAGTTCCTAAGGTGCCTACTTTGAAGGGGACTGAGGTGTCATTGTCCTGTGTACAATGTTTCTTTCATTTTGTATCTTCTTCAGTAAAGGTCTCTAATTTTCATATTGTGTGGCTGGATGCTTTCTGAACAGACCTTGTACAGCATTTGTCCATTTGCCTCATCTGGAAAACACAGATTTGTCAGGGTTATACTTTCCCTTATAATCCACATGTAGTTTTAAAATCCTATATATTATATTTCTTAAAAACTGTTGTTTTGCCCTGGCTGGCGTAGCTCAGTGGATTGAGCGTGGGCTGCAAACTAAAGCATCGCAGGTTTGATTCCCAGTCAGGGCACATGCCTGGGTTGCAGGCCATGGCCCCCAGCAACTGCACATTGATGTTTCTTTCTCTCTCTCTTTCTCCCTCCCTGCCCTCTCTAAAAAAAAAAAATGTTGTTTCTGCCACTTTCTTTTTGCCCCCACTAGTGCAGCTTTCATTTAAATCCCCATCACCTATTTAGATTATTCTTCAGTCTTTCTAAATGGCCTGTATTCGTAAGTGTCCTTTTCCTTGTTTATCTTCCACATTCTTCTGCCTTAAACTTATTAATTGTATTCTGTTGCCTACAGTATAAATTTTGCATGCCTCTGGTTGTCCACCTTCCCAGCCTCATTCTATGCCATATCCCGGGTATGCACCACACTTCAATGAAACTTTTCTACCTGTGGTTTTACACCCCCCCATTACATTCATACTTATTTACACCTTATGCTTTTGCATGTTACATTTCATCTTTCGGCAATGCTGTTCTTGCATAATCTCATTAGGATTGTTTCTTTTCATCTTTAAAGACTTCATGGAGCCCATAGCTTCTCTGTAAAACTTTCATTAGATGTCCCCCACCCACTCTGATAATGTTAATCACTTCTTCCTTTGTCCTGTTTCTGAACCTTGCACTTCTTTTATTTGTGTGTATAACATATCATTATAAACATTATAAATGTGTTTGTATAGCTCTACTATTAGATTTGAAAATAGATCTTGATTTTATTTTCATGAGGTAGGAAGTTTTCATCACAGTTAGCCCAGAGCCTAGTCTATAAGCGGTGCTCAATAAATATTAATTAAACTAAAGTATTGATTGAAAGGAAGCTGGTGATTGGACAGCAGGTATAATTAGGACAGGCTGGATTATGCTACAGAAATACAAATGACTTAAATCTCTGTGGATACCATAGTGAGTCAAATAGTCCTAATCCACGCTGTTTGCATTTGTGATTCTTCTTTCTCAACATGCGATTTCCCCTGTCACTATGGGAAGGAGAGTCACACAGGTAGCTCATAAGTGCTTTAGATTTGAAGCAATATATATCTCTTCCCTTTATAGCCCAATGGCCAAGACTGGTCATATGGCTCTGCCTGTTTGCCAGAGGGCTATGTAAGTGAGCACATAGATATTTGGTGAGTAGTATATCTCTCTGCCTTAATTATTATAAAAGGTCCTTTGCTGATGACATTATGAGAGACTAGACAATAGAAGGCATCGTTTCATCTTTAAGGAACTTATCTTGTTAGGAAGAAAGAAAAGACAAGACATGCAACTTAAGAATTGTTCCTTTCAAAAAATACAGCTGGAATACTCCATTTTAGGGCTTAGCTTTTTGTTATACATAATGGATAACGAGTTCATTTAGGGTATATCCTCTTCAGAATTGAGCTAGACTAGACAACTAAACTAAAGTACTGAGAGGATGTGAAAGAAACAATGGAAGAAGAGATTGCATATGAATTTTGAGGGACAAGGTTTATTTGGTCCTGACTTTTAGAATTCTGGATGATCTTCCAGTATTTTCCTACTTGGATCTTTACCTGACAAATTAAAATGCTTTGGTAATAGTTGGGATTTAAAAAAAAATTCCAACAGTACTCTAAGGATATGTTTTCTAATATTAAATTTTTAATTCCCTCTTCTTTTTTAACAGGGACATTTTTGAAGAAGATAATTATAGCCCCATCCCTGTTATTAATGAGGAAGAATATAAAACAGTCATCAGTAAATTTCCCTTTCAAGATCCAGACCTTGAAAAGGTATAAGCTAGTTTTTTATTGCCTATGTTATTACAATTGTCCCAATTTTTCCCCCTTTGCCCCCTCCACCCTGCACCCCCACTCCCTAAGGCCATCCCCACACCATTGTTCACATCCGTGGGTCATGCATGTAAGTTCTTTGGCTGCTCCATTCCCTATTCTGTACTTTACATCCCTATGGCTACTCTGTAACTACCTATCTGTACTTCTTAATCCTCTCACCTCTTCACTTAAGAATTTTCTTAAAAATAAACTCATGGTATTTATTGCTACATAATATTAACCTGACACTGTAAGTGAGAATGTCTCTTTTTTGGGACTTTTATTGTGTATTTAAGATTATGTTTTCTTAAAAGATTATGTTGCTACTACTATTACTATTTTGGTGAAGTTAAGAAGGGACTTTCCTGAGGATACTAGGAACAGTTGTCTCAAATGTTAGGTGGATTCTCAGGGCAGGTGTTGCTAACCTTGGATGGATTCCAAATTAGTTACACTAAATGTTGAGTAGATTATGGGAATAAGTATATTCTAGGGAAAGACAGGAGAATTTTTTTGAAATGTCCATCACTGTAGGAGGATCTTCTTTTATGGCTATCTATGTATTACAAAAAAGTTATCTTCATTAAGTAGGAGTGAAGGCAGTAGCTTTTTTCTTGTAGATTTTTCTTGAAGGAGGACTATGTATTTTTGAACTCAGGATGTCTGACCACAAGGCAGAATGTAGAAAGGAAATATGCCAGCGTGCAGAGTGATCTGGGACTACATATGATTGCACATGTGTGCGTGCACACACTTTCCTGTCCAGTATCTCTGGGTAGAATTGGCTGTCACGGGAAAGGGCATATTTCCAATTATTGTCACCTTTTTAATTCTCTTTATTGTTGTTTTTTCTTCATGGTATTCTGTATTATTTTTCCAGCTCTATAATTTAGTGATTTTCTACATTTTTATCCCTTTACGATTAGCAAAAGTGAATTCTGAGTGAAATGTGTGAATAGTGACTGTAATTTTTATTTAATATTATCATATGTATAAACTAAGCATATTATGTGTAATAGTGATGAAATATATAGGACCGGGTAATTAAGTGCTTAGCTTATAGATTACAGCTAGCACTGCCATTGCATAAACCTAATAGTTGTATTCTAATACACAAAGGACCAGAATAATTATTCTAAATCTATGTTTTTAAAGCCCCAATCAAAGTTGTCCCTGTCAAGAAATATTACCAGAATATTCTCCATCTCATGGCTTGCTTTTGTGTTTGTTTTGGTTACTGGTAATGAAGTTTATTCAGGCTGTAGTATCTCCATAAAGAGCATTGGATTGATCTGGGTTCATATGCCAGCTCTGCCTGTGGCTTATTATGGGCTAGTGACTTACCCTATTTGGGTATTTGTGGCTTATCTGTCAAGTGAGGAGGTTGAACTAAATAAACTGTAATGTGCCTTCGAATTACACCAAAGTATTCTACTATAAATAGGTTTATAGTTAATAGGACGTTTGACTTAGCTTGTAGGGTGCTTCCAAAATATATAGTAGGTTAAACTTGTTAGTAGGTGTATTCATTGGTCTGTATATTACTTATCATTAAAAGGAAAAACTACTTTAAGGTGAAGACTACATGAAAAATTTAAATCTTTTGGTTGTGTGTTTATATATTTATTTATTTTCCTTATATAAGTGTATCTTTCAATTAAAACTATTAGGAAAGATGTAAAACTGCCTCTCAAATGACTTGAGTTATTATTTTGAGTGTAAATCATGAGTGAGAAAGGGTAAGACTGAACATATATGCAAAAATCAGTCTTTTTGCAGATAGCTGTGATTAGAGCCCTTTGGCTAAAATAAGAACATATTTATATTATTTTTAATGTCATTAAAATACTTTAAGCTACAATATCTTCCAAATAACTAGTATTACTTTCATTGTTTTCGAAGCATAAATTGTATCTGAGTTAGCACTTACATTATTATCAGGTGATTTTAAAGAATAGCAATTCTTTAGTTTGATTTTCATAGTACCCCTAATTGAGTCTCTAAATTTGGAAAGGTTGAACCTACCAGTTTTGGAGAGACACTGCTTTCTATGAATGCTTTCACTAGCAGCTGGTTGTAAGTTTCTGTATGCTTCACATACTTAAGAATATATTTGTCCATTCAAATATTTGTTTTCAGCTACTATATAGTAGTTACAGTGCTACATGCTAGTTTTCAGTTTCTGTTGTCAAAGAGCTTAAAGTCAACAGGAAATTACAATTTACAGAAGTTGGTACTGCTCAACATGGAGGAAGCAGGATGCAGAAAGGCTATATTTCTGTGGTATAAAGTATAAAGTTGATAAAGTACAAGAGATAAAGTACAAGAATAAAGTAGAAAGGGCCAGACTGCACTATCTCTTATTAAACAGCGTTAGAGAGTTTAGCCTTTATTCTGAGGGGACTATGAGAAGTCTCCACAAGATTTTAAGTAGTAAAGACATAATCAGATTTGTGCTTTTCAGTATAAATTATGAGTGAAAAAGTGTAAGACTAAACACGTATACAAAAATCGTCTTTTTGCAGATAGCTGTGATAATTTGATTAGAACTCTTTGGCTAAAATAAAAACATATTCATATTCTGTTTTTAATATAATTAAAATAAATTCTTAAAGCCAAAGCTCTCTGGCTAATGTGTGGAGAGTGGATTGGAGAAGAGCTTTAGACTGGTGGCAAGGAGACCAGCTAAGGGGATTGCTACAGTTATCTTGGTAAGAGAGATGGGTGACTTGAGTGAAGGTTATGGCTCTGGAATATAAGAGATGTTTAGGAGGTAGAAACAAAGGGGAGTTGGTGATCATTTGCATACGAGAGCTGACAAAGATAGAAGGGTCAAGTATGAGAGCTGAGTTTCTGCTTTGGACAGGGGCAGCATTCACTAAGGTAGGACACACAAGAGGAACAGATTTAGAAGGAAGGGACGGTAATTACACTTTTGTATCTATTGAGTTTCTCTTGAATACAATAAAAAAAAAACTGGTATGCAGCCATAGGTGTTACAGTGTAAGTGTTACAGCCAAATGGAGGTGTATCCAAGTGGTGATTAGAGACACAGATTTGGACTTCAGGAGAAAGTCCAAAGCCTGGTTTTATAGGTTTGGGAGATAGGGGCACTTGCTTGGTGACTGGTCAGGAGAGTAGACGAGATCATAAGGATAGTGTGTATGGTAAAGAGAGAAGTGTAGGAGACACCCTAAGGCACTAATTAAGGAGTGGCTAGAGGAGGAGATAGAGAGAAGGTAGAGAAATTAAGAGGAAAACCAGGGTAGGGCATGGATACCAAGGAAGGAGAGATCGTTTCAGAAGTAGGACAGGGCCAACTGTGTCAGATGCTTTAGATAAATCAGGTAACATGAAAGCTGGAAAAGTCCATTGAATTTAACATTTACAAAGTCATTAGTGACTTCAGTGAGAGCACTTTCATTGAAACAACTAGGTTCCAATGAATGTGGAGATAGGTGTACAGATTAGACTTTAGGAAGTGTAAATAAGGGGCTTTTGTTAAAAATCTTGGAGAGAATTTACCTTTTAGAAACCAAGTATTTGGTAATGGCTGTTGGCTGACAAAGCAGTTTAACCAAGAAGCACATTGTGAACCATTGGCTGTGTACCAGTGTTTGATGGTATACTGGTTAGAAAGCCGTTGTAAGGTGTTCTTGGAGTTATGGAAAGAAATGGATACCTTCTTGAGTTGGTAGCAGGCCTTCACTGAGAGTCAGTGAAGGGATCTTAGAATTGTTTGATGTCTCTAAGCCAGGGAGCTGGTCCATAACTTTCATATAACTTTCATGGCCAACTTAACTCTTGTACTAGGGATTCAGAGAAGCAGACAGCTGACAGCTAGGCATCTTCTGCAGGATATTTATCAGAACATACAGAGGTATTGATACTTGTTTTCACTGTTTGTTAGAAGTCTAACAATATGATTTAAGAAACAGGTAAATTGCTACATTATTATTCAGAAATATTTTGATTTTCTTTAAAATCTCAAAAATAATGTAAAAATATAACAGTAGATTTTAAGATGTAAGTATTTACTGTTAATTCAAATGCACAGCCAATTTAATTTTTATATTTTTAGGTGATCAGAACATCTTTTTCTAAAATTTTGAAAACATCAACTTTTTCTCTCTACAGCAATCTTTCCCAAAGAAATTCCCCATGTCTCAGTCAGTGCCTCATATTTACATTCAAGTTAAAGAATTTATTTATGCCAGCCTTAAATTTTCAGAGTCACTACACCGGAGGTAAGTTTACTAATAAGAAATGTATCCTTATCACAGCTATTGTTATGAAACATTAACACTTGTTTCTAGGCCGCTACTTTTTAATGGATTATTATTTCATTGGAAAGACTACCATATTTTAGTGATATATGGGGTTAAGTTGCTGTAAATCTGATATATATATATTTTTATTTGTTTTTATTATGTAAATCTTCAAACATACATAAAAAGAGGTAATATGATAGGAAACTCCTATATTCTCAGCATCTTAATGATTTAACAGTAATAAACATTTTGCCATACTTAATTTTTTTGCTGAAGTATTTTAAAGCAGATAATCAAATTTTACCCCTAAATATTTCAGTATGTTTGTAAAATCAATAAGAACATTTCGTTGTTTACCCACTTATAGTGTTAACTATATTATCCAAAATATCAATTCCCTAGTCCATATCAATATTTTCTTGGTTGTCCCCAAAACGTCTTTTTATAGTTGGTACATTTGGATCAGTGTCCAAATGCAGTTCATACCTTGCATTTGTTGTTGAATCTGTCTTACCAGTATCCTTTTTTTTCTTTAGTTGTTGAATTCTTATTTACTTTAGTTTTTTTTTTAATTGCTTAGGTTACCAGTAGCTAAACAGTATCCTTTCTTTATGTGTGTCATTGACTTGTCAAAAGCTGGTCTTCTTACTAGTTTTATTTTTCTCAAGTAGGCTTAAAGTAAGGGTTCATACAAAGTAATAGAGTTAATAAAGGATGCTGTAGCAAACTGGTATATTATATTCAGTAATGGAGCACTGCACAGCAACTGTTGGTAGTTATAGCCAACTTGATTTTGTAAACAAGAGAATACCATTTATTTGGTATGGTGAAAGTGATGTCCTACATTTATGGAAATAGGGAATCTGGTAGTATCCCTGTTTTGGTAATAAGGAAACTGAGGCTCAGAGAGGCTACATCATTTGTCCAGAATAATTCAGCCAATTATTATGATAGTTGGGATGAAGGAGCAGTTCTTCTGACTCCCGTATCAGTCAGAGTCTGGCATAAAAGGAGTGAACAACTACCTAGACAGACCCTGCATTATAGTTGTATGATATATTTCTAATTGTGATACTCTCTGGAGGAGAGAGTGGTGATACTGGCTTTCATAACATAATGTTTCCCTCTCTGAAATTCATTCTTTTGAATTTGTATACTGAATAGCAGGAAATAATCCTTCACTGTTAAATGCTTTTCAATATTAAGTCATAAAAAGGCATGAAGTCAGTTCAGATATAAGAATTATCTATTTTTTAAGCTGAAACAATGAAAAAATGACAGTTTTTAAATTATACTTTATTGTATCTGTGCCTCTTATTGTAATTATTATTTTGGATTTAAATAATAAATAAATGGAAAAAGAAATGTGTACTCTGCCAGAGTATAATAGTATCTGATTTTAGATTTTGCACTGCTTTTTCCTGTGAATAGGGGTTCTTGAAAGGATTTCTTAATTTTTGTTCTTTAATAGTATGAGTTGGAGAGGAAAGGAAAAGAAGACAAATACCTAACTCATAGCATCTGCTTTGCTATGTGTTTCTCACAAGCTGGTGATTCTCAAACTGTAGCCCCCAGACTGGCAGCATTAGTATCATATGGGGAATTGTTAGAAATGCAACCTTAGACATTGAATTAGAAACTCTGAGGATGGGACCCTTGGTTTTACCGAGTTCTCTGTGTGTTTGTAATGTACTGTAAAGTTGAAGAACCACTGCCTTAAGCTTCATCATATACTTAGCCTCTTATTCCAAAGTCTTTACAGATATATATATATTTTTTAAGATTTTACTTATTGATTTTTAGAGAGGAGAGGGGAGGGGAGGGGAGGGGAGGGGAGGGAGAAAGAGAGGGAGAGAAACATCAATGTGCGGTTGACTCTCATGTGGCCCCCACTGGGGACCTGGCCTCAGCCAAGGCATGTGCCCTCACTGGGAATTGAACCAGTGACCCTTTGGTTCGCAGTCCGCGTTCAAGCCACTGAGCTATACCAGCCAGGGCAGATATATTTTAAACACAGTAGCTTTAAAAAAATTATAATTACTTTATTGTTCAATTACAGTTGTCTGCATTTTCCCCCCACTAGTCCCCCCACCCCAGCCAATCCCACCTCCCTCCCTTGCTTCCACCCTCCACCTTTATTTTTGTCCATGTCCTTTATAGTAGTTCCTGAACACCCTTCCCCCATAGTGCCCTCCCCCCTCCCCTCTGGCTATTGTTAGATTGCCCTTAATTTCAGTGTCTCTGGTTATAAAACACAGTAGCTTTAAATATAATCATAAAACTCAGTAGAGGTGGTATATTCTCTATACTGCCCAACATGACACACACAATATAATCTGACATTTGAAAGACAAATGATAAGATGAGTATAAATGGAAAAGGAATAACTGATTATTACAATGGTAGTTCTCAGTAGTGGAGCTTGAACTGTCTGAGAGCCACCAATAGATTATGCCTTCCTTGTTTTTCCTTTAACATTCTAAAGTTCTGATCTAAGGCAGACATAGTTTATTGGAGTGGTTAAGAACATAAGCTTCAGACTTAGACCTTAGTTTTGAGTCTTGAAACTTACTAGCTGTCATAGGATCTTGGGCAGGTGACTTCATCTGTTTAAATTGCAGATTTTTTATCTGTAAAATGAAGGAAATAATTCATAGGGTGCTTGTAAGAATTAAATGAGGTAATATATGTGTATAAAGCACTTGGTATAGTGCCTGGTACGTGGTAGACATAGGACTTAGGAGAGGATGGGATACTACAATATTAGATGTAAGACTGGTACTTGGAGTGTTTTGTTTTGTGAGCATTAGGGAACTGATGAAGAATTTTCAAGTAAAGATTGACATTATTAGAACTATATTGTAGAAATTTTACTCTGGCATCTGTGTGGATGGTAGACTGGAGGGGATAAGAAAAGTAGTCATATCAAAGAGGTGAAGGCAGTGGTTCAAGAAAAGGATCCTGAAATAATCAGGATCAGTGATGATGGTGAGGAGGGAACATACACAAGAAGTTTTAGGAGCTTGAAGTTGAGTACTCGTCAATTATTACATGAAATCAAGGGACAGGGAATGACTTGGTTTATATATGGGTGAGCTTGAATTTGTTTATACACTCTCAAACAGATTCTAGTTATAGTCACATTCAAAAATAGTGATTCACGCATTTATCTATTATCAACTAGCATTCTAAATAAAAAGTGAATGTTGTCAGTTTTCTCCTCTCTTTCATGAGAATATTAATCACTTCTGTTAGTTCAGTATCCAGTTGTCTAGTTCACACTCTATGACCATGTTGTTCATTCAACAAGGCTTTATGCTTACATTTTAAAAAAATTATGCTTTACTAAATTCATTGGTAAATTCATTCTTTATGTTTTTGAGAGTAATAAACAATTCAGAATACAGTGACAGCATAGTTAATAAATATTTAAATCTAAATTTGTTCTAGATTATCAGCTTTCTGACATATATTTTCATTTTAAAAATCTACGTCTGTGTCCTAAAATCAAGCTATTAGAGTTGCTTTGTTTTTTTATTTGTCATTAAAGAATTACGGAAAAAATCACTTTCTGTATTTAAAGCTTTCTTATTATATTTAAATATATTTTGGAATTCGGTTTTTAGAACTAGAAGATACTTCAGAGTTTTTATAACACAAAAGTTTGGTTTTCTTTTTATATATGTATAAAAGCAGGGCCAGAGAATGAAGTGTCTTTATGAATAGGCACCAAAGTCTCAATTATTTAGTTGTAGAGGAAACATCTGGACCTAATATGATCTTTAAGAACTTTCCAGTTTGCATAAGAGGTTAAACTATGTTTAAAGAGTTTTACTGTATATTAAGATATAATTACTGTGAAATGTTTTTTAAAAATTAGGAAGAGTACACATTATAGGCTCAAAGGGCAGGGAGTTAAAGGGAAAATTGCCCAATTAGGATAAAAACCTCATGGGCAAAATGCTGGTTATTGTCAGCTGAACCTTGCTGGCACAAAGAGGGCAATAGGCTCTAATAGGGTTTCTTTCTCTGCTTTTACTAATGGAAGGAAAAGCATGCACCAACTCAACATTCAAGGGAGTTCAGGAAATTAAAGGAAAGATACTATTTATCATGATAGATTACCTATTTCTCTCTTTCATTTGCAAATACTTTACCTGAGAAGAATGTTATACAGGTGTCTTTAAGCATAATTTGAGTGTGTCAGAAATGAAAACAGAGTAGTTGGCAACCACCTCCTTTTTGTCACGGTGATGGGGACACTAATGACATGTTAGAAAGAGTTTTCTGAGACTTTGATGCCAAGTCATGCTGAAGCCCTACTGCTGACACATTCCCTATTAAGTCTTGATTTTAGATATAAAGAACCAGAGGGAGATGTTCTCCTCAGGTCTGCCAGAATTTGGGTTGACAGAAATTGAAAAGAGTGCTTGCATTGAAATGGAAAACTCTAGAGTAGTAGTGGGAAGTACCTACGTTTTATCAAATCTTGCTCTACTTGCATTTTAAAAATAAATGTAAACTAGTAAATATTTGTGCTTCGTAGATTTGTAATATTTTAATAAAATAAAAGGTTAAAACATTTTAGCCTGTATGTAAGACAGTGGTTCTCAACTGGGGTGACTTTGCCCCCCCAAGGGACATTTGGCAAAGTGTAGAGGCATTTTGAATTGTCACAACTAGGGGAGGGGTGCTCCGTGCATCTCGTGGGTGGAGGCCAGGCATGCTGTTCTGAACACCCTCTGTGCACATAGGACGCCGCCACTCACTACAAAGGATTATCTCGCCTAAAATGTCAGTGGTGCTGAGCCTGAGAAAGCTTCGTTTAAAGACAGTGTAACAGTTCTGATAGTGAAGCTGTATACAAGAAATCATTACTTACTTAAATTGAAGGCCTAGTGGTTAGGAGAAGATAAGCTTTTTAGTGCTAGCCTAGGAATCTTTAAGACATTAAGAAACACCATTTTTTTATTTGTACCAAATTAAAACTAGTGTAAGGTAGTTAAATATAGCTCTTTGAATCTCTTTTAAAAATCTCAATGGAAATGGATATCTTAGTTATATTAAAATTAAATCTACTAATTAATTATTTCTGGGAGGAGCTGACATAAATTTCATTTTAACAGTATTTTTGTCTGTAATTGTGTATGAAGTGTCTTTGAAAGTGATTGTCCTATAATGGAGTCATAATTTAACAATAATTTTATTTTCATGTATTAAGCACTACATGGTTTTACTGTAATGGTTAATTGAATACATTCAAATTATGCCATAAATGAATATTACACTTTAATGAAATATCCCTTTTGTGCCCTGGCTGGTGTAGCTCAGTGGATTGAGCGTGTGCTTGCGAACCAAGGAGTCACTGGTTTGATTCCCAGTCAAGGCACATGCCTGGGTTGCAGGCCAGGTTCCCAGTAGGGGGTGTGCATGAGAAGTAACCACACTTTGATGTTTCTTTCCCTTTCTTTCTCCCTTCCTTCCCCTCTAACAATAAATAAATAAAATCTTTAAGAAAAAAGACATATCCCTGAAATTAAATTATATTAAAATTTGTGGTTTAATAAATATAGGTGATTATAATTTACTAAACAAAGCGCATGTACCCTGGTAGAAAGCTTAGTAATATTAACTTTTTTTTCAGTTCAACAGAAATAGATGATATGCTTAGAAAATCTACAAATCTGCTGCTGACCAGAACTTTGAATAGCTGTTTACTGAACCTTATTAGAAAACCTCACATAGGTTTGACAGAGGTAGGTTTATAACCAAATGTTCCACAATATGAAAATTATTGTAAGTTAAGTTATTGCTGAGTATTATCCGGTAAAACTAGCTTTCTATTTCAAATAAAAGCAATGTCAAAAAAAAGCTATTTCAAAAAAAAGCAACATGAAGGAAACTTAAGCAACATGAAGGAAAAGTGTTTTACAGGGGGAATAGATACAGTACTTTCCCCTTATTTACTATTTTAGTCACCTATGGTCAACTGCAGTTTGAAAATATTAAATGGAAAATTTCAGAAATAAACAATTTGTAAGTTTTAAATGGCACACCATTTTGAGTGGCATGATGGAATCTCATGCTGTCCGACCCGGAGCATGAATCCTGCCTTTGTCCAGCTTATTCTCTCTATGTGCACCATCTACCCAGTAGTTACTTAGTAGCCGGCTGAGCTATCTAAACAACTGTCACGGTATCACATGTCACGCTTGTGTTGAAGAGTGCTTGTGTTCAAATAACCCTTATTTTACTTAATGGTGGATCCAAAGCACAAGAGTAGTGATGCTGGCAATTTGGATATGCCAAAGAGAAGCTGCAAAGGGCTTCCTTTAAGTGAAAAGGTAAGAGTGCTTGAATTAATGAGGAAAGAAAAAAAAATGTATGCTGAGGTTGCTAAACTCCTAAGAACCATCTTCTGTCTATGAAATTGTGAAGAAGGAAAAAATTCTGTGCTAGCTTTGTTGCACCTCAAACTGCAAAAGTTAAGGCCACGATGCTTGATAAGTTAAGATGGAAAAGGCATTAAATTGCGAATGGAAGGCATGAACAGAAAAAATGTTCCGATGACAGCAGTGTATTGTGCCAGGAAGTATTGAACCTATAAGAAGACTTCAGCAAGGGATCCCCCGAAATGTTATGACCACATTCACGTAACTTTTATTATAGTATGTTGCTATAATTGTTCTATTTTATTATTACTGATGTTAATCTCTTTTTGTGCCTAATTTATAAATTACACTTTATCACAGGTATGTATGTATGTATAGGAAAAAACAGAGTATGCATAGTGTTCAGCACTATATGTGATTTCAGGAATCCACTGGGGTGTTGGAATGTATCCCGTGCAAATAAGGGGAAAATACTATAGTTTATGGTGTTGTAACATACATGTAGATTTATAATGGCCAGACCTTATATGAAGAATGGAAATATTCACTTTTTTTTACTTGGTAAATGTATAAAATTTGAAAAAGTACTTTGAAACATTATTTTAAATTAATTGGCAGTTAGATTCTTGGTTATTTTGTTTTCTAATGATGGCATTCTTAAGTATTTGTAGCAGGCTTTTGAAATCAGGTAATCAGTTATATCCTGTAATGCTATAATTATGCATAAATGGTACAGTTACTAGAAGTAATCATCCTGTTTTTAAAAATCAAATAGCTTCTTGTACATATAACCGGATATATTTTGTATTTTCCAGCTAGTACAGATTATCATAAACACAACACACCTGGAACAAGCTTGCAAATACCTTGAGGACTTTATAACTAACATTACAAATATTTCTCAAGAAACTGTTCATACCACAAGACTTTATGGACTTTCCACTTTTAAGGTATGTAAAAATTCTGACCAAAGTTTTATTTCAATCACAATTGAAATAAAGCAATTTTATTGCTTATTACAAGCAAACTTTTTTTTAAGATTTTATTTATTTTTAGAGAAGGGAAGAGAGAGAGAGAGAGAGAGAGAGAAAATCAATGTGTGGTTGCCTCTCACATGGCCCCCACTGGGGACCTGGCCTGCAACCCAGGCATGTGCCCTGACTGGGAATCGAACCTGCGATGCTTTGGTTCGCAGCCCGTGCTCAATCCACTGAGCTATGCCAGCCAGGGTGCAAACTTTTAAAAATTAAAGAAAATTTTTATTATATACATGATTTCATTATATTCCTAACAATTGAATATTAGAGGTAATCATTGTCAGCAGTCAGCTGATAAATCTCAGTTCCCTTTTGGCATTTTAAACATCTTATTAATATGGAGAAAAGTATATTGATTTTCTATAGCTATGTTACATTTTGTTTATGTTTTGAAGACTTCCAGTAGTGCTGAATTGGTCTCATTGAATTTTCATTCATGTCTCTCAGTTCAGTAAATAATTTTTTATATAATGTGTATATGTGTGTGTGTTTAGAAATTAAAAATGTAAGATGAATGGTAAGTGTAAGATTGGCTTTATATCCTTAATTGGCTCTGATCTGAAGAAAAGTAAATATCTTATTATAGGTTATTAAAGTCCTGCTTTTACATGAACAGAAAGATTTCTGTTTGTGTAATACCATGAGATATACTGAAAGATTAATTAATGGTTGTTTTAAACAGAATGGAAGATTAAATACTTTCATAAATTTGTTTTATAAACTATTTTATTATTTTATTGATTTGGGGTTGTACAGACCTGAGATTGGCATAGTCTTGTAATATAAATTGCTTTGCATTTTGTATTTTGCTAAACAAATATAAACCACTTATTGATTCTTTATCTGTAAAATACACTTGCTAATTTAACCACACAGCCTTTTCTAAGTTTTCTATTAAAAAGAACTCTTGTCTTTCTGCTCTCATTTTATTGTAAATTACCCAATTTATCTCCTAAAATTATGGTATAATCACTTACACTTTAAAAATTCAGTAGACTTGTATTTAGAAATAACTAATTAAGTGTTAAGAGTAACTAGACTTTCAAAGTCCAGAAATTACCCTTAAATTCCTAAAATTATCTGCATGGTCCCCAAATCTTATGCTTCTGTGGTTATTCTAGAGCTCATGTAGTGCTCATCCTGGTCCAGAAGGCGCAAGTGTGGGCAATACCTGAGTGAGTACTTTGATAAAATTAGTTATTGAAACTGAGACAGAAGCTGGACGAAACAGACATTCATGTATCCAGATAAAAGAGTATAGTAACTAAGGGTATGTACTCTGGACATACAGAGTACAGAGTTAGACTGCTGTGTGACTTGGCACATTTTTTACTTTTGGTGATTCCCAATTTTGTTAACTATAAAATTAGAGTAGCAATGTATTACCTACCTCATGCAATTATTAATGAGGATTAATGGGGATACTTAGCACAGTTCTACTTGTACATCATCTATACTCTGAAAACTCTCTTAGGTGATGAGAATATAAAAATGTAACCCTATCTTTGAGAAGCTCACAGGAGAATAAACTATAAAAAAAACACTTGATGATATGGTAGGATAAGTGCCATTAACGTAAGAGAAAATCCACAAGGTTTCAGACATGTATTTATCCAAGGACAAATTGATTTTTTACTTTTATATTAGATTTTATACAATCCTCCTTCTATTTTTTATTGATCTCTGTCCTTATGTCCATGTGTTACTCATAGACTGTCAAGAAGGGATTCACTAAGGACTGGAGTTGTAAGCATATTTAACTGTTAACATTAAATTTAATAGGCTTACTCTGTACTCTGAATTGTCTTGACATCTGGTGTATGTAGGGGTCTTCAGGCAATTTCTAACTCAACCCACGCTATGGGACGTGGTGGACTCAGACTGAGGGATCTTGGAACTACACTTCTCAAATCTGCCTGTTAGGAGGGAATGCTTAGAAATGTTAGCTCTGGTCCATCATCCCTTAAACTGTAGATATTTGGCTGAAACTACAACTGCCATAGAATATCCTTCGGTTTTCTTGGACATCAAGAAATCAAATTTAGCCTTTATAAGTAGTAGAGCATCCTTGTTTTGTTGTTGTTGTTTGTTTTATTTTCATATAGAATGCAGGAAACCCTCTTGGTTTTATGAGAATAAGAGCTGTTTCAAGCTCAGTTATATGAAAGTCAAGTATTCTTCAGTTCTGCCTTTGGTCTATTTCAAGAGGAATTTATCATAAAGTATGATGTGAGGAAGCAATTCAACTTCAAGAATTGTTAAATAAATATTAAAGTGAATTTTTTAAGGAGATGACTACTCAGTCTGTTACCTCTTTCACAAGGAAGATTAAAGTACAGCCTTGGTTGCAGCCATTAGCATAGATTGCTTAGTTAACCTCTTAGCTGAATTGTTTCCAGTCCAGTGACTCTACCAAACATATTGCTATTTAGTTGCTTAATGATTATGGAAATAAACATTTACAAGATCCTCTTACTCTCACCTCCTTTTGCTTCCCCTCCAAAAAGCACATATGCGCACACAAGGTGCTTGATTTATATCATACATATTTTATGAAATATATAGATTATCTTGTTAGCTTGCCTTTTCATTTTGCTAAATCTGTGAGTGACACAAAAGAAGTAAGTAGTTTCTGCCCTCAAGCAGTACCTCAGCTCTTTAAAGTTAACCTGGACACATACTGAGAGCTACTTGAAACTAATATAAAACTTCTAACTGAAAAGATTTGCATCAGAATAGAGGGGGAAATGGGAATACCATTCCTTTTTAATCTGTGTAGTGAGAAATAACCTTGTTCTTTTTCTTTGACATCAGAATACTTTAACTTTGCTCCAGAGGGCTTTTCCACTCTGAAGCGTCCTTTCCTCTTGAGTATTGGCAGTGATTACAACTGTTAAGAGCCTAAAAGAAATATGCTTATGATTCTTTTTCTAGTTTGCCTTTTTAAAATCTGTTGATGGCTATGTAACAAAGATTTTTCAGGATTATAGCTAAAGTGACGGTAGTAGATTGTCTTTAAGGGCTTGAAATTCTCTCCTATGGAGCTAGGATGTAGTACATGGCCTTTAAAAAAATATTTTTCATTGAACTGTAACATATACATATGAACATGTACAATTTGTAGCAGCACAGATTATAAACATACACTGCTCAATTAATTATTAAAAAGTGAATCCAGACTTCTGGCATGTAAAGAGATTGGAAGTTGCTCTATCCTGACAAGTAAAAAGCTGAGGAAACTGAAAAATAAACAACCCTTCTATAATTTGTCAGAGAATGAGATCGTAGGGCAAACTATTGCCCCCCAAGTTAGAGAGACAGTCAGGCAAATACAGAGAATCACAACTTAACGGGGCAGAAACTTCTGCAGGAACCACTGCTGGGCTGGGGAAACCTGAACTGTACTTGATAAATTGCTGGAGACTCAGTATGGATAAGTCTGAAGATTAAAACCCCTAACCATGGGGGAGGAAGTGGGTGGAGGGTGGGCCTACACTTTTGTGAGTTTTACCTCCTGGGGCCCTACCAGGTGCTCCCAGTGACTATTAGAGAAAAAATTATTTTGGGCTTCCAACAGGAGAAAGGTAAAAGTAACCATTGAAATACACCAGTGTTCTGTTCTTAAAGCATTTTATGCTTCCCAATAAGACCTAACCTGGGAACAAACTATATATGTGTGTAAACCATTGGGGTTTTATCAGAGCCTAACCAAACTGGAGGAAGGCAAATATTCAACCCATCCTGTTCCATCTAAGGGGTGGGAATGAGAAGCACTTGTGAAATTCACAGTCAAGGGCCAAAGCCTAGACACTTCCCTTTCCTGCATACCTTGCTACCACAATACCAAAGTCCTGTTTGCTGCAGTTCCTTTCGCCCAGCACCATTATGTTTGTCTATCAAGAAGAAATTATAAGACAGACTAAAAGGAAATTTAAAGAGATAGAATAAGTATTCAAATCAGATTCAGATATGTCAGGGATATTGGAATTATTGGGCCAGGAATTTTTTTTTAACTCTAATTAATATGATAAGGGCTTTAATGGATAAAGTAGACAACATGCAAGAACAGATGCATAATGTAAGCAGAGAGTTGGAAAAGCTAAGAAATAATTTTTTTAAAATGCTGGAGATTAAAAACACTGTAATAGAAATGAAGAATGCCTTTGATAGACTTAGTAGTAGATTGGACATGGCTGAGGAAAGAATCTCTGATGATCTTTGCATTACCTTAGGGATGGCTCTTCCCCTGTCTTGAAGAATAGCACATAGATAGATGTTTCTCACAATATATTATTAGGGAATTTTGAATTAATAGTGAGATACCACAGTATACCTACTTGAATGGCCATAGTCCAAAACCCTGATACCACCAAATGCTGGTGAAGATGTGGAGCAACGGGAACTCTCATTCACTGCTGGTGGGAATGTAAAGTGGTACAGCGAATACGTTCTCCACTCCGTGGATTGTCTTTTTATTTTGTTGATGATTTCTTTTGCTGTGCAAAAACTGATTAGTTTGATGTAGTCCAATTTGTTTATTTTTTCTTTTGCCTCTCTTGCCTGGGGAGATATGTAAGATAAAATGTTGCTATGTGCAGTGTCTGAGATTTTGCTGCCTATGTTTTCTTCCATGATTTTTATGGTTTCAGGTCTAACCTTTAAGTATTTGATCCATTTTGAATTTACTCCTGTTTGTGATGTAAGAAGGTGGTCTAGTTTCGTTTGTTTGTATGTATTTTTAATTTTCCTAACACTATTTATTGAATAAACTATCTTTAGCCCATTGTATGTGTTTGCTTCCTCTGTTGAATATTAGTTGACTATAAAGGTGTGGGTTTATTTCTGGGCTCTCTGTTTTGTTCCATTGATCTATGTGTCTGTTTTTATGCCAGTACCATGCTGTTTTGAGTATA